CTACTTTCCCAATATAGATATCTTCAAGTGCTTCTTCTGCCGAAATATCTCCTATTAGCTAGGACAACCCAAGTATAGAGAAAAGCCTACACATTCTTCTGCCGAAGTGACGACAGGGGCTGAGAGGCATCATGTCCATCCCAAAATCGATTGGAAGTTAGCTGTGGGACAATCCAGAGACCATCCAAGGGCAGTTCCATCGTTATACATTTTCACCAGGACATTGTTTCGCTCACCTCCTGTTTTCGAGAACATTCTCGAACCTCATCCCCGCTACCCTTCCTCCCTCGCCGCACAAGAACGCCACCCTTCCCAGCAGTGGTTCAAACGTACAGCACCAGCACCAGCACCAGCTGCTGAGTCAAACCACAATGCCTCTCTCGGCATGCAACCTCAAGTAGGTACGTACCTCAGACCGATTCTTCGCCGAATCCCTCGTCACACCAAACCCCGCGCCAACCAAAGCAAGGTAGAGAGTTTTGTACTTCCTCTCTTTTTTTCCCCCCCAACCCCTCCCTCAGGATCCCTCGTACGTAGCACGAACCCCGCTCCCTTTTTCCCGCTCCCAATCTTCAAACCCCTTGCTGCTCGACCACCTGAAACCCCTTCTCACAACAGCGAGATACGACGTTGATGTGGCGATACGGTGCACTGCGCGGACGTGGTAGCAGGGGATACAGCAGCAGCAGTGAGATGGGACGTGTGGGGGGTGCATGGTCGCTTTGCGGGTCGTGGTATGGATGTTGGAGAGATTGTCCATGTGCACAAATATTCCTTTTTTTTTTTTAACCCCTCCTTCTGTTAGCTATGTTCCCCCTCCGTCTTCACTTTCGCTCTACGCTACGATATGTATGTAAACATAACGTCGAGTGCGGCGGTAGAGAAAGGAAAAAGAGATAAACGGCGTAAATGCAAAGACAAAACGTGCTGCATGCACTGTACTGCTGTGGTGCAATCGCCTTTATGTAGAGTATTTCGAATACTCTACATATGCTCTGCTCCAATGAACGCTTTTCGTTTATCAATTACAAACCACCTACACAGCTGCAGAAGGCAAGAGTGAAAAGACTGCAGTGTCACATACGCCCCGCGTGCAGCACAAAGCAGGCCGATGCCAGACAACAAAGGCAAAAGCGAAGACATGTCTTCTAGAACCTCGTACGGCAGATTCAGAACGCACGCAGTGAGAAGCACGCGAGGAGTTGGGAACGCCGTGTTCTCCTCGCACAAAGTACATGCACAGATCGAGTGAGTGAGTGAGTGAGTGAGACGCGCCCAACAACATCCAAGGAAACTTCTTCGTCTTTTTCTTTTTCTATTGACTAAGTATGTCCCGCTCCTACATTACTTACTTTCCCTTCGCCTCTGCAGCGACCACCAGAACGTCATTGCTGTTCCTTCCTTGTGCCAAAAATAAGCCAAAAAAGGGGGGGGTTGATGGGATGACGTCCGTTAGGGTCGCTACATCATAGCTGCATCTCAATTCATGAATTGCGGGACGCTTTGCCGCGATCATCATCTCCCATAACGCCTTGGCTTGCATCCCCTCGCACTTCCTTCGACGCCTGGTTTCCTTTTTTCTCTTTCATCCGCCGGGGACCATGACTCTTGTCTCAGAAGTCGTTCTCGTCGCTTCCTGCAATAATGACATTGTTGACCTGTCGCAAGGGTAAAGAGACACGCGTTAGCCAAGGCTCTCTTTCAGATAAGCGGTGAAGGGGCGTTCGCGAATCGGGTTCAGAACCCAGACTCCGATGGCCTAGAAGCCTGGACAGGATCCCTGTCGAGGCGGGTGGGCGTGGGTGTGCAGTGATGTGCGCGGCGGGAACGGGGAAGCGGGGAAGACGCGAGACGCCATCTTCTCACTGGCCAGCGACGTCCAACCGTTGCTCACAATCCCAGCAGATCGGAGGTCAGGGGGCGCCGCGGCGAGAAGCGAGAGACATGGGGTGGGGGTCAGGCAGGAGGGATGCGGAGGCTGCAGCTACGAGGGCAGCAAGAAGAGGTCATGGGGAGTGGGCGTTATTTGTAACACCAATGGCTGCAGTGCAGAACAGGGGTTCGAGGCGATTTGCGAGTCTCCTGAACTGGCCAGAAGCTGTGCTGTGTAACCGTGGCTTGAGGGGCACGTCGGGATGGCGCACCTGCGCTGCAGCCAGAGGTGATAAGGCCAACGGAGACGCGCTGGGCGCCCGGAATAAATGTGATCAAGGGAAAGGGCTGCAGATGAAGCACAACCGGAAAATTGCGAGGCGACCAAAGAAATCTGCAGACTCACCTTCAGGACCATGCGGCACAGCTGCGTTGCGAGCAGGAGCTGCTGCCTCTTGGAGATGAGCGGGTCGATGACAAAGTGCTCGCGCATGTCTATCACAATCAGCGTTAGCCCTTGCTGCGACGTCGAGTGTGGCGACCCAGGTGACGACAGTAGTAATTGGTGGTGAAATAGGATAACAGAAGAAGGTACGAGCCGCTGCACATGCGACCGGGATCTCGATTCTGTGTATCCGGGACATGCAACATCTCGTTGCGTAACCACATCTGGCTGCCAGCCACATGCAGTGCCGGTAACAGCTGGCAGTTGTGGCTGCAGATTGCGGGCAGGGAGCGCGCAAAACGGCATTTGCAGGGAACAAAGCGTGCGATGTGACGATGCAAAGGGGAGCTTACCGTTGGTGCCTGTTTGCATGCAATCAACACCCAGACGCGAGTTCTTCTCCTTGACCTGTCTCGACTTGATGGATGCAAGGGTTTCAATAGGGCTCAGGCCCGAGTTCTCAGCGAGGGCCATGGGGACCGCGTCAAGCGCATCGGCGAAGGCGCGCATGGCGTATTGTTCGAGACCAGGGCTCTAATATCCGCGTCAGCCACCAAAATTGTCGAATGCGCCGCACATGATTGACACGTCGTCACACATACCTTGACAGCGGCGTCCTCGACAGCCAGGGAGCAAGCAATCTCAGCGGCTCCACCTCCGTAGACAACACGGTTGTCCGTAACCAGGTTGCGGACAACGCACAGAGCGTCATGGAGAGACCTCTTCGCCTCATCGATGATCTGTGGTATGTCAATGCGGTGGATTCGAGAAAGGCCAGCGCGGCCGGTACTGTGCAGGGATCAACGTACCATCTTGTTGCTGCCTCTCAGGAAAGCGGTGACAGCCCTTGTGTTGGCGCACTCCTCGATCACAAGCATCTTGTCTCTTGTGGTGCCGAAACTCATCTCCCTCACGACGCCAGCGGTACCGAGCTTCTCCGCGCTGAGGTCTTCGAACCTGGGCACTATCCTACCGTTGGTGGCGATGGCGATGAGCTCGATTTCAGGGCCACCCACCCATCGGACCGCGGGCAAGTCGTTGGTAAGGAGAAGGTGGTTGGCCTCGTCATCGAAACCCCACTGACATATGGCGACGTTGGCGCCAGTGTCCTTGATCTGCGTGATCATCTCGTTGAACTTGTCCGACTCGTACTGCTGGAGGCGCTTGAACTCCTCCACATTAGTGATGTCCAGCTTGTGCTTGGTCTTGGGCTTCGGGGGCTCAAAGGCGCAGGTGAGAATGGCAATCTTCGCGTCGCGGACCTCGGTCGGCATCTGGGGGTGGGAGAAATCCTTGTCGATGATGACGCCCTTGACGAGCAAAGAGTCCTCGAGAGCGCCGCCAACCTTGGTGTCGACCTTGATGAGCTCGAAGTCGACGTCCTTGCGCTCCAGGTCGGCGACGGACAGAACGGCGTCGACGGCCATGCGGGCAAAGTGGTCGTGGGCCTTGGAAACGATCTTGCTACCCAGGCTGGTCTTGGCCACCTTGAAGAGGTTCTCCGTGTCATCCTTGGAGAAGGGGATCTCGTCGCTGATCTTGTCCAGCTCCGCCACGGCAACCTCGCAGGCAGCATCGTAACCGTCGGCTATCCTGATGGGGTGGATTCCCTTGTCGATCAAGTCGGCGGCCTGTTCGAGCAGTGCGCCGGCCAGGACGACGACACCGGTAGTGCCGTCTCCAATCTCGTCGTCCTGAGACTGGGAGAGCTCAACCAGAAGCTTGGCAACGTGGTTGGTGATTTCCATCTGGCCCAGAATGGTAGCGCCGTCGTTGGTCACGGTGATGTCGCCATCAGGAGAAATCAGAATCTTGTCCAAACCCCTCGGACCCTATCCACATCCGTCAGCGCCTCCACCTGTGTGCGCCGCTCTGGTGTCTCATACCAGTGAGGTCTTCACAATGTTGGCAACAGTCCTGGCGGCGAGGATGTGTTGCTTCACCGCATCGGTGCCGTGGGTTCTCTGTTTCTTGCCCTGACTTCATGCCCGTCAACATCCGTCATCTTGCGCAGCTCAGCTCCCACGGGTATATACGCACTCTCTGACAATGATGAAGGGGCGGCCGGACTCATCCTTCATCACCTGGGCTGTTCGGCGAGGTCAGTGGTGGTTCACGGAGATGACGTGCGGTCGGCCACGCGGACGGGGTTCGGGCATACCATTAGACATGTCAAGCTCTGTGCGGAGGAAGCGTAGTTAGCAGGAGCTCTGCGAGGGGCAGTGGACAGCTGGTTGCAGGGGGTCGGTGCTTGCACGGGGGAGCTCAGAACGACGTACGCATAGCCATGATTGCGCGGGGAGTCCTTTGCAAAGGACCGGACTACAAGCTCGGCGGAAGGGACGGACGCGTCGCTGCGGGCGCTGACGGGCGTTGATCGGGAGAAGGGGCTGCGGCGGGGGGATGAATGGTGCTGCTGCGGGACAAAATTCTGGAGTACGTGAAGTCGGCCGGCGCCCGCCCACCGCCCGCGCTCGGTCCACGTCCCTCGTCGCGGCCCGTCTTCGCGCGCTTCTACCCTCACACGCGCCTCCGCCTTCCGCACGCCTGAGCTCCACGGCGCGACAGCTCCCGTCCGCTCAATTGCGCGCATTTCACATCGCTGCCGTCTTTCCACGCGCCACTGCGCTGCCTCCTCAGACGCGTGTCAATTGACCAACCGGGCGCCTCACATCGCGTCACCATGCCGCGTATGTGCAGCTCCATGCGCGTGCACCTCGATTTACCTAGCTGACCATTCCGACACAGCCGCGATCAGCGACGGTGAAGACTCAGCCTCTGGCTCTGAGGCCGAGATCCCTTACAAAGCGGCGCCGAAAGTCGCGTCTAAGGATGTCGAGGAGGAGGAAGATGATGATGACGAGTCCGCAGAAGAGTGCGACGCCCGCGCCTCACTTGCGTTGGATGCTCGCTGACCTGTGCCAGATATGTCGTCGAGAAAGTCATGAATCACATCTTCGAAGATGATGTACGCCCTACACACCGATTGCAACGTCCGCGGCGTTCCACTGACGCCTCTCTAGGGCACCGTCATGTACGAGATCAAATGGCAAGGCTACCCGAAGAAAGAGGATCGCACGTGGGAGCCCGAGGAGAATCTGTAAGACTGCACAAGCCAACTAGAGAGCCTCCGGAGCTGCATGGCTGACTGCGCAAAGTACTGGCGCGAAGGAAGCACTGGATGAGTACTTTCAGAAGCTCGGCGGACGGCCGACTCTCGGCGGTAACAAGAAGAGAAAGGCATCCCAGACTCCGTCTGGCACCCCGGCAGGCAAGGGCCGTGGCCGCGGTCGCAGCTCAATCAAGGAAGAAGAGGCGGAAGTATCAGCGGAGCCGGAACCGAAGGTTAAAAAGGAAAAAGCACCTTCCTTCCCAAAGGGATCTTGGGAAGAGCACATTCAGAGCGTCGACACAATCGAGGAAGTCCCGAACGCAAAGACCGGGGAGCGGGAGCGCTTTGCGCTGGTTGTCTGGGCAGATGGTAGCAAGACACGCCATGGCCTGGCAGTGCTCAACCAGAAGTGTCCTCAGAAGGCAAGATTGTCGAGGTGCCTGAAGTTGTGGGAAGCCATACTAACTGTCGTCTAGATGCTCACGTACTATGAACAGCATCTGTACTTCAACTACAACTGATCCCCCACCATTAAAACCGCTAATTTTCGTCCTAAGGAAATTCTATACCTCCGAAAGTGACGAATTCCCATTCAGCAACGGTGCCAACGACGGTTGAAGACGTATCCGATAAGTTGCCGGAAAGCAACTGAAGTACCGCCGGGCGACACGGCCGACAGGATAACATGACTGGCTGCGCTGAGCCGGACGAGAATGAAAAACTGCATATGAAGGCGTTGGAAATCATTCACTGGCCGGACTTATCGGTGGGGTTTTTCGAGAGTCGTGCAAAATAGCGTGGAGTGATGATCTTGATAATTGCAAGGTCACTGCCCTGGTTAGGTAGTCGGGCCTGGCCAATGGGACTATTCTAGTTCCTCTCTGGACCTAGAGGGTGGGGGACTCTGCGGCCGTCGGCTTGGGCTGCTGTCAGGTTTGCCTGACCAACAATCAGCACGCGCGCCCGAGAAGAATGGCACTCCTATTCAGTTTCTGCACAGCCAAAAGTCCATGGAGCATGGTGACCTGCTGCCATTTGCGCGTCCACTCTGTCGGGCTACCCGGCGAAACATTTGGCCGCTGGCGGCGTTCGGGCCGATGACAAACGAGCCTGGGCTCCTCGGCGCGTCATCGACACTTTCGCGAGCGACTCTTCCCCAGGCCTCCCACTCTCTCTGCGTCGAAGCACTCGTTGAAGACGCAAAGGTTGAATGTGCCTTGTCAGTCCGCCGTTCGTTCCGAGCATGCGCATTCCTCGGTTGTCGGTTCCAAAGAAGAAGCGCGCGTTCCGCAGCCATGGATGAAGATCTCGCCTGCCTCGAGGCATGTACGCCCTGCTGCGCTCCCTTGCTTGCCCATGTTAACCGCTTACAGAAGGAGTACTGTCCTCCTCTGGACTCTGCACTCGTCATCTCCATATACTCTGACTACAAGGGCGAACCCAACTGCCTTGAACAAGCACGTGCTGTTCTCGCCCATTTCAAGGACGCCGCTGCCGTCGAGCAGCTCACCGACTTTGACCCTTCTGGATGCAGCACCCAGCCCGCTGAGCAGAGCTCGTCGCCCGAGCAGGGCGACCAAGCCTCTCGCGGCCCGAAAGCCTCGACCGAGACGGACGCCACGAGCCTGACAAATGGCGTTTCCTCGCTCGCTCTCTCCAGTTCGGGTGTCTCGACGCCGTCCGAGCCAGGCACGAGCATGGCATGGCTTCAGAACTTGAACATGTCAGCCAAGGAAGCCCAGCTCATTGAGACGTTTCCAACCTTGAGTGCCACCACCATTAGCTTCGTCTTCAACAAGAACAAGGGTGATTTTGAGAAGTGCACCGACGAGCTGCTGAATCACGTTTTGTTTGAAGAGATAGACGGCCAGGAAGGCGAAGAGAAGGTCTTGCGAAAGGGAATCGACACGTTTGCAGCTGCCGACGTGGCCGCTCCCCGTGGCCGCAAGGCCAAGGGCAAGAAGAAAAACAAAAAGGCCAACTACATGAACCTGGACGAGTACGCCCGGTCCAGCTCAGAGCCAGCAGCCCCGTCGCCAAACAAATGGAAGACCATGTCTGATGACGTCGATTTCATCGCAACCAAGGTCAACGTCTCGTACAAGGCTGTTAGGTCTTCATATCACGAGCGCGGCGGATCCGTCGCAGGAACCATCACCGCCCTCATCGAGTCAAACATGAAGACGGACAAAACGTCGCTAGAGGAGGAGACGGACATCATCGTCCAAAATGTGCTCGACCTTGCCAGCGAGTTCTCGCTCGATCTCCAGCAAGCCCACGCGCTCATTCGCCTGACCCACCCTTCCTCGGCCGCCGCCCACGAGCTCGCAAAGTCCCTCACGCGTCTCTCTAGCGGCGGCTCACCTACAGGCAGCAGCGGCGGCGGTGGCATTCAGCTCGTCCCCCGCTACGCACCGCTCAATCTACCGGACCCCGATGACGAAGGCGACGCCCCGGGCCCAGCCTCGGCATCTTCGCTGCATCTGGCCTCGCCCTCGGCAGCCTCCTTCGGCGCGGCGCGGCACACGGCCTTCAGCAAGGCATCCGAGTACCACCGCAAGGGCAAGTCGGACCCGCTGATGAAGGCGGCGGCGGGCTACTACGGCCAGATCGGGCGCGACCACCACCGCGCGTACCAGGTCGCGGTGGCGGCCGAGGCGGACGCGCTCGTCGCGGCGCAGTCGACCCCGGCGCAGCTCGACCTGCACGGCGTCAGCGTCGCCGACGCCAAGCGCATCGCGCGGCAGCGCGTCGGCGAGTGGTGGAAGTCGCTGGGAGAGGACCGCATCAGGGGCTACGCGGGCGCCAAGGGCAGGGCGAACGAGTACAGCATCGTCACTGGGTTGGGCAGGCATAGCGATGGCGGCAAGGCGAAGATCGGTCCCGCGGTGATGAAGATGCTGGTGGCGGAGGGGTGGAGGGTGGAGGTTGGGAGTGGGTTTTTGACCGTGTCGGGCGTGCGGAAAGTGTGATGAGTGAGGGACGTTTGGATGTGTTGGGAAAGTATTTGGGGGAAGAAAGACTTGTGCCATGTAGTGTTGCATTGTTGGCGTATCAGCGATGGAGTTGGAGGAAACGCGATCTCAGCTTGGTAGGGCCATCTTGGGTGTGTTTGGGTGGGGATTTGGATGGAACTGGTATTCAGTGTTTGGTTGGTTATGTGATCAAATAATATGAGTGACAGTCCAGCAAGAAGATTGGCTGAGGTCTTGGGGATCGGTGAAGTATGTACTATTATCGGTGAGGCATGGTGACTGACTACTTGTGCAAATAGTCTATGCCACGGTTCCGGCAGCCCGCAATAGAGACAACAGGAACAACATATAAGCGTAAGCGCTCACGGGAAGTAGAGTAATGTCGACGTCAGGTTGTTCGGCTGAACTGCGCCTCCTTCAGGAATGAGATTGAGGCCCCTTGTGCAACAGCGACGGAAATTCGTTTGCCTTGCATCTAAGTAGCGTACAGCAAACGCAAAGCTTTTGTGGATACAGAGACAACCTGGTGTCTTTAATCACCTTTCCTGTCTTTACTGATGTCCTAATTCGAGCCGTGCGACTAGATGTAACCGACATGTCATTTTGTCATTTTCCAGTGCCACAACTTCAATATTGACATGTCCATTATTCCAGAAGGCAAGTTTGCTAGCGATCCAAATATACAAGGTTTGACTTCTATTTTAGACCGTTTCCACTCACCTGTGACCCATACATGGTTGTTTGCTGCTGATGAAGGTCTTTTGCCCCTCTCACAACATTCGACCACCCGGCTTCTTCGGCAAGAAGCTCGAGCTATGATCTACGTCGTACGGATAACGGTTTCTTTCGCAGTCTCATGCCTTGCTTGGGCAGCACTTCAGCCAGCCCGAAGCTGGGTGCGCCGGCATGCTCGGCCACAAGACGGTCTTGATATGTGAGCTGTCCGCCGGCACACCAAGATCATTACGGGAGCGAAGCGCAGAATTCAAGAATCGTGAGACTCGTCCACAACGAAAAGCCTTTGCTGTGCATATCACAGCTTATGTGGTGGGTGTCGTAGTATGAATCCGGATTCATCTTTCAAGCGCCGTGTAACCGGTGCACCTGCCCCACCCATGGCTGACCGACACATGCCTGGTGACTCCCATCTACGACATAGCATGTGGCTGGGCGCTCTTGCCTGCTCGGCTCCTCCGCGATCTGCCTTATAACGACTGCGGCCATCTCTCTACTCTCCTTCACAATGTTTCTTCCCAATTCATCAGCCATACACGAGTATTAATCCGGAACATCTACGATCATGCACGCTTTCGGATTCGCGGTCCGAAGCTGTCAGTTCCTGACTATCGCGCAGGCGATTGGTCTCTGTGAAGGATGTGAGTTAGCATAAAATATCTGTGTGGCTGTCCCATGCTGACATGGAAGCAAACGCAGTGCCCCAAGCCTCAGACCCATTCAGCACTGCACGTGTGATGACGCAGGCGGCTGCCGTCAGTAGTTCCCTGTACAGGCGAGAGGATCCTCCCTGGATGATGAGCGGGCTCCAATGTAATAGGGAACGTGGTGAATACTCGCAGTCAAGGAAAGCTTGGAGCAGCCAACATTCGACCTGGATATCGTTAACTACAACCACGACCGAGACACTGTATTCCACCTCTACCAGCATCGCCACGACTGCGCCTACAATCACACTCTGCGACGGCGCACCACGTGCCGGAAATGATGTGGTAGCGACAATTACATGGACCAGCTCGGTATTCGTGTCTACCCGCACCTTTGAATCCGTCTCGTATCCGGACTACACCATTCCCGAACCCAGCTGCACCATGGACAGAGGAACTTGCTCAGCGCTGTCGTCCTACGTGCGGTCCCGCCACAGCGGATTCCCAGAAGGCTGGAATGTGCCCTGTGGCACGAACCAGTCGTGCACCGCCTGCGTCATCACCGCCAAGAAGGTCAAGCTCTACCACTGGCCCCTGCCAACCACCGTCGAGTGCGTCGCAACAACCAAGCCGAGTCCCAGCCCCAGCCTCAACCACCGGGCCGCCGCCGCCGCCGCCGCCGCCCCCGCATCAGCCGCCCCAGCCAGCAGCACTCACAGTCCCATCTCCGCCCTCTCCGTCCTCTCCGACGGCATCACCTTCACCTCGCCGACCCTCTACATCTCCTTCTACGACATCAAAGCCACAGACCCAGCCAACGGCCTCACCTGCGGTGGCGGTCCCCCACCCACCGGCGCCGCCGCCATCGCGTCGTTCGCACCCGCCGACGTGCGCAGCGTCCGCTACGGCGCCCAACGCGGCGCGTATCCCTTCCGCGTCGACGACCTCGCGCACACGACCGCCACGGGCCGCGTCGGGGGCGCGGTCTTCTCCATCGCCCTCGTCCCGCCCGCCGCGTACGCCGGCCAGTACAGCTGCAACCCTGGCAGTCGGTGCGCGGTGATCCGCGACGACTATCGGCCCACGGTCGTGGTTCCGAGTGACGATGGCCAGTTGATGACGATGGGTGGGGGGTGGGGGCGGTGTGATGCGTTTGATGCGGGGTATGGCTTGCAGGTGGTGGCGGTGGAGGAGATTGGGAAAGGTGGTGGTGGCTCGGGGTTGGTGGTGCCGAGACGGACGGTGGCGGTGCCGACGGCGTGAGTTGCGAAGATGCTGGGGGCTTCCTGCTCACTGGAGTGTGATGGGGGCGGGAGAGATGTGGATGTGGCTTTGTTTTGGTGCTATACTTCTCTTTTCACATTCGTACTTCTTATAGGTTTGGCCATGGCGTAGGAAGCGGGGCGTAAGGGAGGAAGAGAGATGGTCTATTATCCCAACCGTCTATAAGTTCTGATAATGAGCTTTTTTATACATGGTTCTACCCAAGCTGGCTTTGGGATCCCTCAGGGCTCGTCAATAGTTTCCTTCGAAGTGATGGGTCATGTTCAACGGCGCTTGCCACAGTGGGTGACGAAAGAAATTGACCCACCTAGATGGGCAGCGGAATCCCATGTATGAATGCATTTGTATTGTTCAACACTCGCATCTACATCCGAATGTCTGCTTTAGCTACCGATGAAGAAGGGTCGTTTATTCAACTGCCCACACGAAGAATCGCCGTAGGCCAATTTCTTTTGTCACCCACTGTGCTTGCTAAAAGCCGTATGGATGAAAGATCCCTGCGGCGCAACCCATTACGTTTGCCGAGAAGAGGGTCCGCGCCAGCTGGCTCAAAAGTTATTCCTATCACGAGCGAAAAGGCGTAAAGCTATAATAAATCATAATGGTGGTGGGGGAGTTGGCCAGCTGGCGCGGACCCTCTTCTCGGCAAACGCACCCATGCAGCTGTAGGGCAAAGTACATAGTCTGAATTCAGCATGCTCCAATAATTCCTTCGACCCCATCCTGTGGTAGACCCCACAATTACCCCACTCAACTATCGCGACTGGAAGCTCAATGGCGAAAGCTTCATTAGCCGATGTGATTCACCCTGACGACTTTCCACAGCTTGCGTGGAAATATGTCCGAAAGTGTTGCATTTCCACGCGTCCTCCAGATTCAGCATATCACGATAAAGCGTACCCAATATGCTGCTGCAGTCATCTGAGCTTACCCAAGCTCCAACCCGGTACCTTTTCCTTTCTTGCCAAGTGCTATCAGTGTGGTCACATAAACCCCATCCGGAGACCAACCAAAAAAATCTGCCGGTGCCCTCCCGCCATATATGGCCTCTCTACTTTCCTGACTTCCAGCTAAGGGGCTATGCTTTGTTTTGAGAGAAGCACCGCAAAAATGACGGAGATCACCATCGACGACCATCACTTGGAGAGTTTCAAGGACAGTGTCGTCTTGATAACAGGTCAGTGCTGCTTCACTATGAGTGTAAGATATATCTGTACAACTTCTGACTTATATGTGAATAGGCGGTGCCTCCGGCATCGGTCTGGCCACGGGTCTGCTGGCAGAGAAACACGGCGCGAAAGTGGTGGTCGGTGACCTCAACCCGCTGCCCAATGACGAGAGCATCGAAGGCAAGAACATCCTATACCTACCGCTCGACGTGACGTCCTGGGAGTCGCAATCAGCGTTCTTCAAGAAAGCGTATGAGAAGCATGGCCGGATCGACCACGTCTTCGCAAATGCTGGTAAGTGGGATTCCGAGATACCAGAGAAAGATATGAACACTGATCCGCGCTTGATGCATACGTGTAGGCGTGGCACCGAAAGCCAACTGGCTCGACGAGATCGTTGACGAAGAGAGCGGCGAGCTGCAAGAGCCGGACTACAACAGCTTCGCCATCAACCTGAGGGGCACCATGAACACGGCGTGGCTGGCGCTGCACTACATGAAGAAGCGGCAGCAGCCGCCCGGCGGTAGCATCCTCATAACTTCGTCCGTAGCAGGCATCATCGGCTTCCCCGAGCTCGACTACAGTAAGCACATCCAAGGAGAAAAAGAACCCTCCCCCCAACCTCCCTTTTTCCCCGCCATTTTCAATACTGATCGATTAATACAATGTCAGGCGTCGCCAAACACGCCAGCCACGGCCTCGCCCGCTCCCTCGCCGTCAACCTCCGCCGCGTCCCCTCCCAGGCTTTCCCCTCCATCCGCGTCAACTGCCTCGCGCCCAGCTGGACCGTCACGTCCATGGTCCCCGCTGCTGTCGCCTCCCTCGGCGCCAACATGCAATCGCCTCAAGCCGTCGCGCGTACCGCTGCCCTGCTACTGGCGGATAAGTCGCGGCATGGCGAGACGGTGTTGGTGCATGGGGGCAGAAGTGTGGAGATTGGAAGGGGCATGCATGAGGGCGTGGTGAAGTTGGAGCCGAGGTTGGAGGGAGGCGAGTGTTTGGGGGTTCTCTTTGAGGGGATGAAGGATTGGGCGACGTTTGATAAGGGGAGGGAGGACGGGGAGGGGAAGTAGGGAGTTTTCCACTTCAACTGCCTAGGAAAGGAAAACCAGTCAAAGTCTGGTTCCAAACCGTTCAGCACCATGATGAATTAATCTGCCATCTACCCTTGTTTCCCTTAATCGACGCCTTGCCCTCACAGCCTCGCCTTCTCTTTACTCTCCAATTCCAGCACGCAAGCCAACGTCCCTTCCGACACCTCTTCTCCTTCCTCTCCCTCGAAAACCCACGTCGCCCTGCCCGGCCTCGGACTCCTCACCTCCAGCTCCATCTTCATCTGCCTCACCACACATATCACGTCCCCTTCCCTCACGCTATCCCCTTCATCAACCAGCACCTCCACAACCTTCCCGGCAAACGGGATGCAGACGTGCGACGGATCATCCGGCCTCCCACGCCTGTGTTGCGACAATGCCGCGCTCGACGACGCCGTGGTTGCCGCGATATGCATGACGTAGGGCGTAGATGACGATGACGACGACGACGACGACGCACCGACATCGGCGGCCGCAGTGCTCGAGAAGGCAATCTCAGCAGACAGCGACGACGGGAAATCGTTCCGCAGCACGCGCGTGATCTCCAGATGATGCGTAGGCGCAGAAGCCGGAGAAGCACTGGAAGCCAATGCCTTCCCCCCCTTTGCCCTTCCCGCCTGCCCACCCACCACCCCATCCCCCTCCTCCAACGACAGCGAAGAAGCTTCAAGCGTAACGTTCCACGCATTCCCTTTCCTAAACAACACCGCCGCATTGCTCCCCGCGCCCAACCCCGCCGCACCCCCGCCCCCACCACTCGCCCCCTCCCCCTCCTCCCGCTCCCACACCCCAAACCCACTCCCCTCCTCCGCCCTCCCCCTCTCCACCCCCCGCCCAATCTCCTCCCCCGCCGCGACCAACCCCTCCGCCACCGCCGCCCCCTCCAACCACCTGGTGTCGCATTCCCCCCTCCCAAACGCCGCGCTCGCCACCACCCCCCTCAGCACGCCGAGATTCGTCTTCACGGCGCCGCCAGCGACCTGCACGTCCGCCAGCACGCGCGCCGCCTTCCGGATGCAGGCCGCGCGCGAGCAGGCGGTGACGACGATCTTGGCGATGAGGCTGTCGAAGTCGGTGCCGATGGTGGAGGGGTGGTGGGTGTCGATGCGGACGCCGGGGCCGGATGTGGAGGCGAAGGAGAGGTGGTGGATGGGGCCGGGGCTGAGGGCGAAGGCGCGGGAGGGGTCTTCGGCGGTGAGGCGGAGTTGGAGGGAGTGGAGGGGTGGGGGAGGGGCGGAGGGGGGGAGGGGGGTGGGTGGGATGCCTGGGCAGGAGAGGAGGGGGGAGGAGGAGGAGGAGGAGGGTTCTTGGTGGTGGTGGAGGAGGAGTTGGGTTTGGACGAGGTCGAGGCCGGGGACGAGGGATTCGGTGACGGTGTGCTCGACCTGCAGGCGGGGGTTGATTTCGAGGAAGTAGAAGGCGCGGGTGCGCGGGTGGACGAGGAACTCGAAGGTGCCGAGGGAGAAGTACGAGAGCCGCTCGGCCATGCGCACCGCCGCCGCGATCACCTCGCCCACCACCCCCCTGTCCGCGAAGGTGCTCGGCGCCTCCTCCACCACCTTCTGCCACCGCCGCTGCACGCTACACTCGCGCTCCCACAGGTGCCGGACCTCGCCGCGCCCGTCCCCGACCATCTGCACCTCGACGTGCCGGAAGCCGTCCACCATGGCCTGCTCCGCGTAGACGCGGCGCGACGGCGACTCCTCGATGGCCCGCGTCGCTTGCTGCTCCAGTTCGTCGTCCGAGTGGACCAGCCGGATGCCGCGGCCCCCGCCGCCGTCGACGGCTTTGATCATGACCGGGTAGCCGGTCGAGGAGGCGAAGGCGCGGAGGGTGGGGATGGAGGAGGTGGGGATGGAGGAGGTGGGGTGGAGGAGGGCGGGGGTGACGGGGACGGAGCCTGCGTGTAGCGGGCTGGTTAGTGGAGAAGGTTGGGGAAAGTTGATGATGGGGGCTTCGAGAACTGGAGCGAGAGGAGAAGAAAGGTGCAGGTAACGGAAGACGGAAAGCAGCGATGGGAAGGAGGCAACATACACTCCTCAGCCAACTTCCTCGCTTTCAGTTTGTCGCCCGTCTGCTCTAGGATCTCCCATCCTGGCCCTACGACAACCGCGCCCGCCTCGTCCCAGACTCGGCGCGCGAATTCGGCGGATTCGGAGAGGAAGCCATAGCCGGGGTGGACGGCATCGATGTTGTGCTGCTTGATTAGCGAGATCAGGTATGGGATGTCCATGTAGGAGGAAGCGGAGGGCAGTTCGATGGCGCGCGTCGCGTAGCGCACGTGAGTGGCGTCATTGCTGGTATAGACGGCGTAGGTGGGAATGGAAAGCTCTCGCGCCGCCGTCATGATACGGGTTGCGATTTCGCCGCTACAGAAGCGCAAATGTAGGCGTCAGCGCTGCGCATTTGTGGAAATGGAATCGAATTGGTGCGCACCGATTGCAGACAAGAAGACGACGGATAGGACGGGGCGGTGGTCTAGCCATTTTGGGCAATTCGTGAGTGTTCCTTTGCCAGAACGAGTCGAGTGAGTATCGCAAAAACCTGTGTTGCTCACCGAGACACAGCACAACTGATGTCTTGGAAATGATGGCGGCCAGGCCGAGGAACGAAGTCTGGGGATCGGCAGACGTCAACGTGGGGTAGCTCAGGGACCGAGGCAAACGGAGCTCCGCTACTGCACCCAAGCTCCTCAAACATCACCCCCGCCACCACCTTCTATGCAGCCCACAACTCTTTCCGTGCACTCAATTGAGCCCCCACGCACCCGCAATGGCCGACGACGACAGCAAAAAGAGCTCCAACAGCGCGGCTGCCACACGCCTCGCCCAAGTCTCCAACCACATCTCCCCACCTCCCCAGTCCACAACGCCCAACCCACCAAACGACGACGACGACAACAAAAGACCCCGCCGCGGCCGCAACCGCAACCGCAACCGCACCACCGCCACCAACCTCCCCGCCGACTACTCGGACATCCTGAACCAACTCAACACCATCCACACCCTCGCCCGGCGCACGCCCTCCCCCTCCCACCGCGGCTACGCCCGCCAAAAAGCCTCGGGCAAGCTCTGGGTCCGCGAGCGCATCGCCCAGCTCCTCGACCTCTCCACCTCTCCCTTCCACGAAATCGGCAGCGCCAGCGGCACCGCGACGTGGACCGCCCCCTCCTCGTCCTCCTCCCCCACCCCCACAATCAGCACCTTCACCCCCTCCAACAACATCCTCGGGCTCGGCACCGTCCTCACCCCCACCAACAACAACCACCCACCCCGCCCCCGCCGCATCCTCCTCACCGCCGACGACTTCACCCTCCGCGCCGGCCACGCCGACGGCGCCACGTCGGACAAGACGCTCTACGGCGAGCAACTCGCGCTGGCGCTGCGCGTGCCCGTGGTGAAGCTGGTCGACGGCTCGTCGGGCGGGGGGTCGGTGTCGACGATCCGCGACGCGGGCTGGTCGTACGTGCCGCCGATGCGCGGGTGGGGCGCCGTGGTGGAGCAGCTGAATAGCGGGATACCGAACCTGGGCGCGGTGCTGGGGCCGGCCATCGGGCTGGGGGCGGCGCGGGTGGCGGCGGCGCATTGGTCTGTCATGGCGGGGGATGTGGGCGCGTTGTTTAATGCGGGGACGAAGGTCGTTGCTGGTGAGTTGCTTTTTTTTTCTTTTTTGAGTTTTTGGTTGTTGTTGTGGCGAAGCGGTGCTTAGCATAGGGGCTGGCTGACTGACGGATGTGTGTTGTCGTTGTGTAGGCGCGACGTTCGAGGAGGGGTTGACGTTTAGGGATCTCGGCGGGCCGGCGGTGCATTGCACGAACGGCACGATTGACAACTTGGCCGCGAACGAGGCCGAGTGCTTCGAGCAGCTGCGGACGGTGCTGGGATACTTGCCCAACTCGGGGACGGAGGTGCCGCCGACGCTGCTGCTTGCGGACGACGGCGATCCGCCCGATCGAACGACGCCGGAGCTGCGCACCGTGGTTCCAAGGAAAAGGGAGAGGATGTACGATCCGAGGAGGATCATCACCACCGTGGTTGACAGAGGCTCCTGGTTCGAGATCGGAGCGCTGTGGGGAACGACCGCCATTGTCGGGCTGGCACGGCTTGGCGGGCGTCCGGTCGGCATTGTGTCATTGAACTGTGAAGGTTGGTTGTATCCCAAATGGACATGTATGGGGAGCTAACGGGACGTGTTGCAGTCAACGCTGGTGCTCTGGATTCTCTTGGATCCCAGAAAATCACCAGACACCTCAAGTTCTGCGACGTCTTCAACATCCCGATCGTGCAATTCGTCGATATTCCGGGTTATGCCGTGGGAACCGTTGCGGAACGCACGGCGACGATGCGCCACGGCATCACCCTGGCCACGACCTATTACAGCACAACGATCCCCATCTTCTCCGTCATCGTGCGCCGCGTGTATGGCGTGGCCGGCGGTATCATGGTCGACTCGAGGGAGCCGCACATGCGCGTTGCTTGGCCTAGTGGTGAATGGGGTAGTCTCCCTCTTGATGGCGGGATCGAAGCAAGTCATTCCCACGAGTTGAAGGAGATTGAGAGGAAAGAAGGGAAAGAGAGGATGAAAGAGAGATACAAAGAGCTAGAACAAGAGTACCGGCGTTTGATGAATCCAGTACGGACGGCGAATGCGTTTGGAATCGAGGAAATCGTGGATCCGGCTGTTACAAGACCATTGGTGGCCGAGTGGGTGAAGCATGTATACGAGGTGCTGCTGCCATTGAGGGTACAACAGAGGATATCGGGGACCTTGAAGCCGAAGTTTACGTGATAAAGGGCATTTTTGATGGCAAACCTACATGGCACATAGTTCAATTTGCATATGGTCATCATGCAAACTTTGAAGTGCTCAAACTCAGTGTCTAAAACAATACCAATCCCCACCGAGACAGGAACCGAGTTGCGTTGGTCAAGAGAAGACGAATTGCCAAGGGCGACGCGTGGTGAAAGGTTGCTTGACTACAGTAGGCCTATTTGCATGCAGTTTAGTTCGAAGCTCTTTAGCCATTGAAGGTGCAAGCTTGTCGTTCGACCGTAATTGCCGCGACAGAAGCTTGTTTCGAGGTGCTTTTCTGGATGACGTCTCCGAGAAGCTACGGGCAAGGAGGCAACCAGCTCTCCCCTGATCGTTCGCTCTAGTGAGGGTCGCGTGGCTTGCGATGGCGTTCCGAACGGCCACGTTTAGCTCCAGTCTATCCATGGGTCGACCGCACAGCCACAAGCGACACTGATTGTTGGTAGGCAACGAAACGTACGAAGGAATGCCCCGTTGCAGAGAAAATACGGGCTGTCGTCATTAGTTCCCGCCGCGAGCAACAAGGAGAACGTTGCCACGCAGAAAAGGAGTGAGGAACAAAAATGCTGGTCGGAAGGGGAACCCTTGCTTCCCCCACGAGTAAAGCAAAGACAACGTCACTCCACGCTGCTGTGACTGGGAAAAGCAACGACCGAGCCCGAAGAATCTGTCCACATGTGGTGACACTGTCAGCTTATTTGACCAAACTGCCTACGCAACGAGATAAAGGGCAAAGGGCGAGATGCTGGCCATTTCTTGGTGGTCGCGTGGACGATGCCGATCTTATTGGGGCTCCTGAGCTGCCGTGTTTCGTCTCCCTCAGCCTCCACAAGCACAGGGGTGGAAGGCTCCATCCAGACATCACGGTACTTTCTTCGCACGGTTGACAGAGCCGTAGCGCAAGTCAATGTTAGCCATTGGCAAATCGGAACGCGATGCACTTGGATTGTCGATGCGGCTGTGATGTGCGGCCGCTGTGTGATTGAACAACCGCGTCATTTGCACGTGGATCTAATCGGACGATCCGGTGACGCGGGAAGATGGCGTCCGAGGCGGGTCTGCCCAAGGACAGAGGACAGAAGAACGGGATGCATGCACCTGGCAAGGCATCGCGCTTCGGGGGTGGCGAGAAACCTCCCGACGCGGTGGGACGTGGGATAGACGTGGGATGGCTCTCGCGGGGGAAAATCAGGGACCAGGGGAGATGCGAGATGAGATGGGCCAGAGTGTCGCGATGGAGAGAGGTCTGGCCACGGCGACGATGGACGCGGGATGGCGGGATCGGGGAAGGAGGGGCGTGCTGTGATGGCGATGGGCAGCCGGGAACCTGGATTCTGGGGCGATTGTCAGATGCGATTCGTAAAGACAATCATCTCTCATCAGCGCAGCTGAATCGCCCGCGGCCTTGTGACCAGCGGACGCGTGTGTGCGCTCCTCGTGTAGATTGTAGAGAGCATCACCCGTGGCGCGTGCGGCGTCTTGGGGCAGCAGACGCGAAAAAGGAGTCGTGGAGGCTGGAGCTGGCGGTTAGTCAACTCGAGCGCGATGTCCGCCACCCGCGCCGCAGTCGACACCGCGCGCAGCTTGGCAAGGAAGGAAAGCCGGCGCGCGGGAGCATCTTGGAAGGCTGCTGCGACTCCCGCCGTCCCCACACGGCCGGGTTCCGCGATTTATTGTCAATAGTAATTATAGCACCGCTGCAGGCTGCAGCGTCCGGAGCGGAAGCCGAGGCCGGGGAAGCGCGGAAGTCGACCAGGGGCGCCCGGCAGAGCCTCCAGTCCCGACCCAGCCCTCAACACCAACCCCTTTCCGCTCGCCCACATGACCCCCAGCCTGCAGCATTCGCGTGTCAGCCAGCAGCGCTGCCGCCCCAGTTTTGTACCCGAACGTACAGCCCGCGGAAGGATTCCTGCAGCCCCTGGCCGCAGCCGGAATGGCTGCGAGGATGGGAGAGAGCTCTACACGGTCGACAGCCGCGGCCTCGCCGTGCTGGCACTGCCGGTCTCTGGTGGCGGCGTCTAGCGGCGGCTGGAGATTGCCTCCCAGACGCGCAGAACACAGGCGCAAGGGACTCTCCGCCGGACGTCTGGCATGAATTTGGCATCATGGCGTCGCCAAAAGTCTCGTGTCAATACGGTGGCCAGGTCATAATTTCTCGGTCTGCGCCCACGTGCCAGACATCGACCTGGCTCGCGGGAGCACAGATGGCGATATCGGGGCGAGTGACACAGTGAGGCAGCAAGAAGCCGGGCTCGCGTCTTGGGCGGCGGCGCTGCTTGCATCTCTCGAACAGGGAAATTTGGCGTCCCAAACCGGGGCCCACTGCATGCGCAGTCGGCGAGAGAAAAATTTCACCTTCACAGCGCTGGCGGAGGGGTGGCTGCGGCGGATTCGCGGGCGCCTGAGTAGCTAGTGGCCGCCCATGCCGCTGGCAGATGGGTTTTTATGGAGCGGGCGCAGGGAAGTTTTGGGGAGCTGTCAGCGCGCCGGTCGAAGGTTGGAAGAAGCGTTGTGCTGGGCCCTGGATGATCGGCGCGAAGGGGCGGCCGCGGTGACGCTCGCTTGCTGTCGCCCACTTTGCTTATCTGTGCGCAGCCGCGACGCCACCACTGAGGAGCCAGCGTCACAGCGTGCCAGCGTCGAGCCCCAAGGTTCCGCCGCCAACGGCCGCGCGCCCGGCAAGCTTCCCACGCGGCGTGGCTGGCCGGTCACCCTGGCGGCGCGCTGACCGGCGCGCCCACCGCGAAGGATGCACCAGGGCCCTGGTGGGGTCTCCCACAGCTCCTGGGACAGACCTGGCTCCAGCCTGCCGACCGACATTCTGCACCCCCCAGCGTCGGCCGTTCAAGACTTGCAGCGGATATGCAAGCCGGTGCGCCGCGCCCTGATAACAACCCGCCCGCGCGCCCGCGCGCCCGCCATCCCGGCCAGGAGCAGGAGACGGCACGAGTCGGTGAGCTGGTGGCGTGGGTGAGGCGGCGTGCGGCGTGCGGCGGCCACGGGGATAAGATACGCACGAGGGGGCCGCTGCCGGCCGGGCCTGCGGGCTGCGGGCTGCGTGGGTGCTGCCAGGGCCCGCTAGCCAGGCGCCGTGCGGGCTGCAGCTGCAGATGATGCTGTGTCGTAGGGCAGCGCGGCGGCGGTGGACCTGCGTGGTGGGACTGTGGGGGAGATGACGCTAGAAAGATGGGTGCTCGCAGTTCGTTCGCATCCGCCGCAGGCCGAGGGGCCACGGGCGAGCAGCGGCGGGCGAGAGCGCATCAGCAGCCGCGCTGTCCCCGTCAGCTCGTGTGCTGGGCGCCGTGGGCTAGGAGGCCTAGCGGGCGCGGGAGAAGATTCTGAAGCTTCCATGCGGTAGCGCGTCTCGCCGCTCGCTCTTGGCCACAGCGGATCTGCTTTAGCACCGCTCCAATCTGGCATGCGCCGGCGCTTCTTTGCACGGATCGCCCTACCCTGCAGGAGCACAGACGCTCGCAAAAGTAGAAACAGTGGACCCCAGGGAGCTTGGGCGGATGGTGTGCGAAGCCGCCAGCCGTAACACCGACAGTGACATGGTGACGGCTTGCGCCAGCCTGCCACTGAATAATCAGCCTCCCAGCTGCAAATAAAAGGGACTCCTCGCCGCCGTCCGACTTGCCCGTCACCGTACATCCTCCATCAGCTTCCGTCATTCGCGTGCCGTCCTTCTCTGCGTTTTCACGGTCGCATAGCTGTTGCCAAAGGTACACCTCGCTCCTGCCAATTCCCCCTTGACCACCCGCCGTTCGAGCCTCCCTCTGCATCTTGCGACCTTGTCCCGGCCCACGCCTTCCCGCTTGGCAACAGTCAGCTCACCTGGATCCTTTTTAAACAGTTCCGCTACTCTCCAACCTCGCCTCTTCAACAACCTACAACCAATTCTTCCTACAACCTCCTACGACCGCTTCCACCTAGACTATCCATACACCCTTTCAATATGCTTTCCCGCCAGATCCTCAACGCCTCCCGCGTCGCTTCCAAGCGCGTCGTCGCTCCCGCCACCCAGAGCGTCCGCACTTTCAAGACGGTTCAGTCCCAGCAGAACGCTGAGGAGATCAAGGCTGGCAAGGTTCTTACCGTTACCTACAAGGATGGTGTGAGGCAAGAGGTTGAACTTCCCGTTCAGGAGACTTCAGGTCCCGTCGCTCCCCCTGGCGCCGACGACAAGAAGCCCGCGGTCCCTCTCGCCAAGAGCGTCTTCGACCAGCTCAACTCCACCATGTCCAAGTTCACTCTCCCCGGCAAGGTCGCCGTCGTCACTGGGTAAGCCGTCCTCGCGATTCGATCCAATTGACACGGTACTAACATTTTCCCAGCGGTGGTCGTGGTCTCGGTTTCAACATGGCCCAGGCTCTGGCTGAGGTCGGCGTCCGCGGCATTGCCATTATGGATGTCCAGCAGAAGATCGGCGAGGAGGCTGCCCGCGAGCTCTCCGAGCAGACTGGTGTTGATGCCCGTTTCTACCAGGTCGATGTCCGTGACGGCGGCGCCATCTCTCAGGCCGTCAACGACATCGTCGACCACTACGGCCAGATCGATGTTCTCCTGAACTCTGCTGGTATCGCCGACTCGAACATCAAGGCTGAGACCTACGACACTGAGATGTTCCGCCGCCTCGTCGATATCAACTTGACCGGTGCCTTCCTCGTTGCCCAGGCCGTTGGCAAGCACATGATCGCCTCCAAGAACGGCGGCAGCATCGTCATGGTCGCCTCCATGTCTGGCTCGATCGTCAACTACCCCCAGGAGCAGTCTTGCTACAACGCTTCCAAGGCCGGTGTCGTCCAGCTCACCAAGTCGCTCGCCACCGAGTGGGCCCGCCACGGCATTCGTGTCAACTCCATCTCCCCTGGCTACATGGACACTGCCCTCAACCGCGTCCCCGCCCTCGACGCCCAGAAGAAGATCTGGATCGAGAACACTCCCCAGAAGCGCCTCGGTGCCGTTGACGACCTCAACAACTTGGCCGTCTACCTCTCTTCGCCCGCCTCTGCTTTCATGACCGGCTCCAACTGCATCATCGACGGTGGCTACACCCTGTGGTAAGCGCTAGTGCGATTGGTTTGTGTACACGACATGCCTTCCACTGTTGCTTTATACCCCGTTGTGTTGAATTTGGTCGCGATGAAAACATTTGCGCAGTTTGAGGTTCTTTTTGTTTGCAATGTCGTTGCCTGAGGTCTTGGGAACTGCTCTGATACGTGTTCATCCTGGGTTTCCTACTTGCAATTTCGGGTTTTCGAGGTGCACGGTATAGATGAGACATTGATATACATGGTGGGGGAAGCACTTGTGCTTATTCACAAGCGATGGCGTTATTTCTTTTGCTCCTGGAAAGGAAATCTTAACTCGGTCGATTGTTCGGTTTAGACTTGGGCTAGAAGTCGGATTTCCTCATCAAGGTTTGACAGGCGTAGTCTTTCTTCACTGCTTGGGACATTGGCGCCCACCCTAATTAGCGTTCGATGGGATGTGAAATCAAAAGTTGTTTCGGGGTTCTCTGAATATCTGTCTCGACTCTGCTTTGGTGAAGTGACTTTCGCCACCATGATGTCGTCATCGTCCTTTACCATTCAGTTGTCACTGCTGAAAGTACGTTGGATGACTGGCGCGTTATCTCAAAGTCACGATGGGCGGTATGTTGTTTGGTTGCCTCCCTTCACTTTGCGGCCAGAATGCCCCCTTGGCTCTAAGAAGGACGTCGAATTTGAGGTCTTGTGTGATGAAGCTCGTGCCAGTAACTGGCAAAGTTGTATGGCGTTTCTACATAGAGCTCGTTCGTACATTGATTGGCTGAATCGTCAAAGTAACCTCCGAGAGGCCCCGGGGTTAAAAATGAGGCGGGCAGATGATCGTCCAGGTCGACCGTAACGTTATCGCGGGAAAGGGTAGGTATCTCTGAGATGGGGGTGGGTCCAAGAAGCGGCCTGGCCCATCCCCGAGGGCAAGACCGCCCGTCCGGCCCCCCCGTGGCGCTGCGGGATGAACCTTGGTCCCCACTTCACGATCTTGCCCCGTGCGTCTTGGGTCTCTTGTCCCTTCCGTTCCCGCTTCCGCTTTCCCGCCGCCCATAGCGGCGGGTGCCTGAGCTTTGCTCCTCGTTCCCCCCCAATGCACTGGCCAGGCGTTCCCGCCACCCCCCCAGTTCACTTTTTTTTTCTTTCCGGGGCTCTCGGCCGTTTCCCTGTGTCCCTCTCCCTTGGCAAGTCCCACGTGCCCGCCACTCGCCCCGGCGTTGCCCGCCCTTTCACTTTCCGCTGCCCGCCCTCGCCACCGTTGTCGTAATCCTTGCCATCTTCCAACACGTCCTCACCGGTCACAACCCCTCCCGAACTCGGAACTTCCCCCCGCCACACAAAAGCCTCACTTACTTACAACTTGCTCTCCCTACCGCCACCGCCACTGCCACTTCCGCCTCCGCCTCCACCTCCGCCCCGCCCCTCGTCCGCCCCCGCCCCCGCCCCCGCCGTCCTCCTCCTCGCCCTCTCCTCCGCCTCCCTCGCAAACCGAATGTTCCTCTCCCGATACACGCGATCCCACAGCGCCGCCACCTCGGGCCCCACCGCCTTCGCATTCGGCGCCGGCGCCTCCCGATAAACGACCTCGCCCACACTCGCCTCGACCACCATCCCGTTCCGCGTGCTGTCGTCTTCAGCGTCGTCGCCGAACGCCGCCCGTGGCAGCAGCTCGTCGAACGCCCGCATCATCGTCGCCATGGACGTCTTGCCGGCGGCCGGGTACGCCTCCATGAGGCCCGGCGGCGCGAGGTTGCTGGGGACCATGTCCGGGCAGACGGCGTTGACGGCGAAGCCGCGCGCGGCGGCCGAGGGGGCGAGCGAGCGGACGAGCCCGATGAGGGCGTGCTTGGTCGCGGCGTACTGCGGGACGGCGGGGAGGGGGTACAGGCCGGCGGCGGAGGAGGTGACGATGATGGTGGGGCGGGGGCGGGGGCGCGGGGGGGAGGCGGCGGAGGTGGCTGGGGGTTGTAGAGGGATGGAGGCGTAGTGGGCGAAGAGCTTGATGCCGGCGTAGACGCCGAGGAGGTTGACGGCGAAGGTGGTGGTGTCGGGTTCGGTGGGGGGAGGGGAGGCGGGGGTGATGGATGCGGGGAGGGCGGGGAAGATGCTGTCGCGGTCGTCGATGCCGGCGTTGAGGGCGGCGAGGTCGAGGCGCTGGCGCCAGCTGTGGGCGCGGGCGAAGGCGGCGGCCTGGCTGGGCCAGGACGAGACGTCGGTGCGGAGGAAGAGGTGCCGGTCCGCGGGCAGCGAGGCGCTGGCGGGCGGCGGGTTGAGGTCGAGGAGCACGACGTCCCAGGATTTGGAGAGCAGGTGCTGCGTCAGGGCCAGGCCGATGCCGGAGGAGGCGCCCGTGATGACGGCGACGGGGTTGGACATGGTGTTTGGTGGTGATCAGACAAGATTGGAGTGGCCAGTGATGTGACGCGAGAGAAAAGGTGGGGAGTTTTATTCTGAAGTGACTGGGTGGACTTGATGGTTGGCGATTGGCGATGTTACGGATATTACGATGTTACTGGTAGGCGAGCTTGAGATCCGCACTGTACAGGCTCGTCCACTCGCACGCGTCAGAAGCGAAATCATCTCTGCAAGCGGCGAGTGGAGTCTTATAACTGCACATATCGGCAATGGGGAGGAGGTCGGAATCAGGCGTAGGGGAGCCCCGGTTGCCGGCAGTTGTGCCGTGTGGTTCCCCGCACAGCGGTGGTGGGGCAGCCAGCCTCAAGGCCGCGAGTCGTGGCCGCGAACTGCTGGCCGTGCTACAACGCGTGCGGACGCGGTTCGATGCCTGAGGCCCCCGCATTAATCGTGCTGGCGATGAGGTCAATTCGGAGAGCTGGGTTGGGCTCGGGTGCCGCGCCTCATCAGGCCCTCAGCTCAGTCGCGTCAGCTAGCGAAGTCAGCGCGCCACCTACGCAGGCCTGTCGGCGGATAAAGTCGCACGTCTCTCCACGCGCGCCGCCATGGCTGTTGACGCGTCGTGAGGAAAAAAAATAAAGCGCGTCTTCCTGTGGTTGACGGGGCTGACAACGGGTTTGTTGGTAGGCGATGGTGATGGGTCTTTGGCGCGGCGCCATGGCTCTATCGGCAGCCCAAGCCGCTCCGCGCGCAGCCGGAATCGCGGCTTTTTGGCGCTGCTGATGACTGCTGCGCCTGGCACCGCGTGCGCTCTCCCAGCTGCCCAGCCGCACATCTCCACAACTCCTCCACCCTCCAACTCCCTCTCTTCTCCCTCAGTGATACCCGCAGTCGCCCTGCACCCCCGCCACCATGCCTCTTGGAATCCACAACCCTTTGCCTTCGTCCGTCGGCAGTGAGTACCCCTCCCTCAGCCGCAGCCTTGGCACGCCTGCCTGGCGATCAATGACGTTGCTGACTGAAATGCGCGACTTCCCAAGGCGAAATCAAGAAGACGGGCAAAATCCTCGCGTCCTTCGTCGACCCGCGACAAGCCTTTGGGCCAGACAAGGTCATCCCGCCGCAGGTGCTCGCCAATGCTAAAGTACGTCGTCGCCCTTCGAGCGCCGTATCGCTTCTCGTGTTTCGCCTCCACTTCCGCTGGCCCCGCCGAAACAAAACAATGGGCTGACGTGGTTTTCGCGTGCAGGGTCTCGCTATCTTGACCGTCTTCAAGGCCGGCTTCCTGGGATCTGGTCGGTTCGGCTCTGGCATCGTCGTCGCCCGCCTGCCGGACGGCGGTTGGTCGGCGCCTTCTGCTATTGGCACCGTTGGAGGCGGCTTCGGCGGTCAGATCGGCTTCGAGCTCACCGACTTCGTCTTCATCCTCAACGATGCCGCCGCTGTCAAGACCTTCGCCCAGGCCGGGTCGCTGACGCTGGGCGGCAACGTCTCCATCGCAGCCGGTCCGGTTGGTCGCAACGCCGAAGCCGCCGGCGCGGCCAGCTTGAAGAGCGTTGCGGGCGTGTTTGCCTACTCCAAGACCAAGGGTCTCTTTGCTGGTGTCAGTTTGGAGGGCAGTGTTCTCATTGAGCGTCGCGATGCCAACGAGAAGCTGTACGGTAGGCGCGTCCCTGCGCGGATGCTGCTCGAGGGTAATATGCCCGTCCCGCCTGCTGCGGATCCGCTCATGCGCGTCTTGAACTCGCGCGTCTTCTCCGGTGCCGCCAACACCCCTTATGCCAACGACGCCATGTACAACGATATGCCCGTCTACGACGACTCGCATGAGGATGTTGTTTGGCAGGGTCGCCGTGGCTCTGCAATGGGCGAGGGTGTCCGAAGCGACCGCACCGGTGCTTCCGGGACCGGCGGCTTCAATCGCCCCTCTCGGTCCAGTACCTGGGCCGATGACATCTACGATAGGACCCCTGCCCAAGGCAACAGCAACGGGCTCAATCGCTCAGTTTCCACACGCGCCAATCCAACCGAGACATTCGACAACATCCATAGACGTTCGATGGGTTTTACTGGCAGTGACAGTTACTCGTTCAGCGACAAGCCGAAGCCTTCGAGGCCGACCGCGCCGAAGCCGCAATTTGGTGCCGCAAAGAGGGCGTCGCTTGCTGCCAACCAGGCTATCGCGAAGTTCACATTCGAGGCTGATCAACCGGGTGATTTGGGCTTCAAGAAGGGCGAAGTCATTACCATCCTGAAGCGGACTGAAAACGAGACCGACTGGTGGACTGGTAGAGTCGGTGGCAGGGAGGGCATTTTCCCCAGGTGAGTGTTGTTGTTGGTTTTTGGAAGAATGCTCATGTCTGACGTTTCTGAAGCAATTATGTCGAGATGGTTTAAACGTTTCGCTTTCCCGATCCGCACCCGGTTTCTGGACAGCCCTTGTGCCGCATCGGCTTGTGGCTGATCCCTTGCCAGCACTCGTCGTCGGCTGCGAGTTTTCGATATCTGGAGTCTCGGTTTTTACGGTTTTTCATTTGACGACACCCTTCTTATTGCCCCACTTATGCGCCATCAAAAAATGGTCTGTCTCTTCCTCAAGATTGGTGTTCTTTGCAAGTATACCACTTTCGCGAGAGTACTACGTTGTTTTGCAAGATCATTACTACTTCTTTCACCCCTTTTCACTGGCATAGCATGGTGTTCAACGGTCGGCGCAGTAACGAAGTGGGTTTATTATCCGTTAATTCCATTCAACTTGGTAGTATTTTGGCCATTCAATGTCTCTATTTTCCTCTGGCAGAGAAAACATTTACCTTTGATCTATGATTTCGCGACATCCATCGTTACTAGTGTGACTCGCTCTTCCTCGGCCCCGAATACTCACCGCAGTAAGCACTCTGAACGAATCACAAAAGCGTCAAGGCCGAAACCCGAGGCTCTCCGGCAGAAGAAATAGCATGGGGCCTGGCCCAGGTGTCTTGGAGACAAGTTTGGTACACATTTCGCAGCTTGACACTGGATTCGGTTTTAGCGGGATCATACGCGCATACACGGTCTCACCGCTGTTGTACAACGGTATCATGATATCAGCTGCATCTGTTTCAAGAATCTGGTTGGTAACGGATACTTGATAATTAGCTTATCAATCTTATAAGCACTATGCTGACTCGAGACTTGTGATCAAGTTCAGGAAAGATCCAGCTTTGATTACAACGGTCTCCAAGGTCCACTATCCCAGGACTATGAGATGCAGCCTCATTCATTTCTTTACGCACCTTCCAGCCCTCGCTTGCCTGGAAATGGTATACGCAACATCAGCGTTCACTCCACCTTGATTACGATCGAATATCGACTCGGGCACGTTTGCAACAGCCTCACATCCACACCAGCGGGCGCAAGCGACAACCATTCTAGATCCGAAAGGAGATGCCGAAGTGAGAGAAAGGCACCAACCCATACTGACTATTAATTACCATACTAACTTTGAGACGAATGTATTCGCTTAGATGTGTACCTCGACCTGGTGCATGCGTGTATGGTTTTTGGTGTATATAAGCTTAACATTCAACGTGTCTTACAACATAGCATCAATAGCTCAGCGGCAGAGCGCAGGATTGCAGTCAAGATCGCTATTATCCCGAGGTCCCCGGTTCAATCCCGGGTTGGTGCTTTTTCTTTTACCCCGTCTCCATATCTTTTTGCTTGTCAATTAGGCCAATGTTCCTTCCCAGTTCGATCCTAGGTAAGCGCTTCCTTTTTGCTTATAGCCCTTTTTGGCGCTCTAGAGTACCCTATTTTACTGTAAAAGCCTTGCCAATCAGGATGATACATGGGTTAGATAGATTGGCTTGTACTGGTGGAAGACCAGGCGGGCCAAGTAGTCGACCGGCCAAGGTTGACTCCGATTGGCAATTCTGTGGGGTGGCAGTGACTTTCCCCCGCCTCGTGTTGGAGTGTTGTTGATGCGTTGTCAGAAAGGGGCTACGGCAACTTCTTTTGGTGGGGGCGGGGCGGTGCTGTGGAAGGGCGGCTCGGCGGACTTGGCGGCGGGCTTCCATGACACTCAAGCTTTCGGGCCGAGAGGTGGGTGGCAAGCTCTGACGGAATGAATAAATGAATCGCAGGTAGCCGGCGAACGAGTGGGACCAAGACTCTCATGTATGAAACTTGAGTGTTCTTTAGCTCCGGAGGTAGAGTCATGGTTGTTTGTCTTCTTAATGGGGAAAGGAGTAAATCATTCGGCGGTCTTGTTAAAACAGAAGCAATGTCGAAGAAGTAATTCTGTAGCATAGTGGATAATTTTTCATTGTTAAGGAAGACTGTCACCGAGCTGCCACTGTTGTTATCTTTGATGGTCTTCCAATGGACTGACAAAGAGTGCCAGGAAGGGGCCGATTGATGTGCGCATCCTGCTATGGTAATTGACCGCTCTTATGTCTTGTTTCAACTGTACGATGCAGAGCAGCTACGGCGGCTTGATATTCACGATCACGCAGTGTCCAGGCTTGACGATATCTCCAGCTTTGTGCCTCTGTCTACCGAAAAGAATCATGGAGAAAGAATGGGTTTGTTTAGTCCAGCCGTGCCTCGTATAGTCTTTCCCAGTGTTTCGGGAACTCTCACGTATTTAGTGGCATTTCCCCCAGAATGATGTTTTTATCAACAACAGGCACCTGAAGCATTTCTTCGGCAGAACCCAAGTTGATTCGCTGACCCGGAAGAGTCGGACGCGCGCTTCTCTCCGGAATATTACGTTTCGGCCCTTTGCTGTGTTCCATTTTCTCCTTGCTTCGTAGCTGCGCACCCACGTCCCCACCTCCTCAACACTTCCTGGCAAGCTCGCCCCCATCTTCGCGCCACATGCCCTGTACGACTCTACCAAACACATGTTTCAAGATCGTGATATCATTCCTGCAGCCAAGCTGTCTCAGATGTTTATTCACCATTATTGCTGCGCTACAGTTGTCCTCCTCCTACACCACCACCCACCTTTTCTCCGTCCCCTTTGGGACGGAGTTACACCATTCCAACAGTCTTCTCCCATTGCGCAAGGCTTTTGGTTTTGCTCGTCCTCGTCTGTTTCACTCTGCAAGACAACAGTGAGCCTATCATAGATAGTGTATCAAGGGATGTGATTACCACCACGTCCCAAATTCTTCAAGAAGGAAAAAAACTCGCGATTGGAGGCCAAAGGTCGATCTTAGATTACACAATCCACGGTATCTCGCGGCGCCCTTCCAGCCTTACCGATGGAATCCGACCAAGCGGGGAAATTGCAACGCCCCCTCGCAAGTTTAAACAGGCCTGTCCTGGGGGCACACCATACCCTTCGCCCCGTGTGCACAATGATCGTCTAGAATACCTCGCAGCTCAGCACCCAGGCAAACATCGCAGCTCGAGATTCCAGGTCATCATGAACGATGTCTCACCAACGAGAGACAGTTCGAGCTCCGGCGTCCATATAGGAACCTGGATCAACTGGTCTCATGGACCCATCCTTGGAGCAACCCTCACGCTTGACCGTCAGAGCGGAGGTCTTCTGATCGCAGCCCTGGCACTGTTCATCGCCTGGGCCGGCACCAGCTTCTGGAGGATATGCTGCTTCGTATCCCATCAGGTCTACTCAAGCAATACCGCCCAGGATGGTCTCTATCACCAACGGCAGGCACTTCTCCGAAATTCAGGTAGTCCCTGGCACGGACTCACGAGCTTACTCCACACCGGATGGGCCTGGCGGCGGAACTCGAAGCTGTCGTTTTGCCGCACTCTACCCATGGTCTTCTGCGCTGCCCTCTGCGCATGTGCCTTCGCCATTGCCAGCATTTTCTCGTCTATGGTATCGACTTCGTCGGGGAATGAAGTTCTGATATCCAGCCCAGATTGCGGGTACACGAGTGCCCAGCTGGACAATCCGGATACTTTGGCCGCACAGACATTTGAGCCGTACTTGCGACAAAATGCACTCTCGTACGCCCAGTACGCGCAGCAGTGCTACCAGCCGAATGCTTCTACTGTAGTCGATTGCTCGCAATTTGTCAAGAAAAACTTGAGCGGTACAGCCCAAACTGATGCAAGCTGCGCATTTGCCGACAACATCTGCCAGAGAGACTCGGCAAACCTGGCTCTGGATACCGGTCTTCTTGATAGCAATCAGGATTTTGGACTGAACTCGCCCCCTGAAGAAACGTTCCAATACCGTCGGAGAGTTCAGTGTGCACCGCTGAAGACGGATGACTACAAGAAGCCATACAGGGCGCGGAGTGGAAGGAGGTACATGAGGTACTACTACGGAGAGAGGGTTTCAGGCGGGGTTCAGGCCGATGACTACACTTACGAGTACTACGACAATTCCCTTGCCGATTTAATCGAGACAAACATGACAAGCGCCCCGGCAGACTACACTTTGAGGTAAGTTTTTCCTCTTCCTCGACGGCTAGGCATTCAGCCGACACTGACTCGCACACTTGCAGCGGCTTCCGGTCCTTTTCAATCAACAGTACGCTCTCTCCAGCCGCGTCGGAATTCCTGCCCATCCCGCCTCTCCGCATCCCCAACGCCGACGTCTCCATCTTCTTCCTCTCGGGCAACCAGATCATCTACACGGTCCCCACAAACGACAGCTGGTACCGCGGCGACCGCCTCCTCCACGCGCCGGCGCCTCCGCCCATCCCAGCGCCCGAGCCGGGAACCCAAGGCCCGTACTTCTCCAGCGAAGCAGCGTCGCCCCTCGCGTGCGCGGTGCAAGAGCAGTACTGCAGCGCCAGCCTCCCACCGGACCGGCGCTGCTCGGCCCTCGCCTCGTCGGCCGACGCGCTCGCCGACATCACGAGCAAGCTGCTGACCGACGACGAGGCGGGCGTGCACCGGCTCCAGTGGTTCGTGGCGTCGACGACGGGGCGGGCGCCGGACCTGTCGACGGCGGTCGGCCGGCTGGGGGCGCAGCTGCTGACGGGAAGGTACAGGCTGTCGCAGGATGGGGTGCAGGGGGGCTTGCTGCCGGACGGGCAGTGGCAGGCGGATGTGATGCATTGGCATGCGATGACCATGGCGGCGTTGCAGGATGCATTCGTGCAGACGGCGACGGGGCCGCCTGGGGATGGGGTGCTACTGCCGTGGCTGGTGAGGCCGTCGAGCCCGGTGGAGGAAGCCATGTGTAGGAATCAGGTGCGTGTTCCCTGTCTATGTCCCTTTGACTTCCCCACTAACAGCTGCCGCACGACAGAAAATCCTCAGCCGATCCCACACCTCCTTCGCCCTCTTCCCGCTCCTCCTGATCCTCGCCGCGGGCGTGCTCGTCATCCTCACCTCCTGGTGCCTGCCGTATTTCCTCGTCTTCATCGCCCGTCGTCGTCTCATCTACGCCCACCGCCACCGTTCTCTCCCCTCTTCCCCGGAGTCCCCTCCCACGGCCGCGAACAACGCCAGCACCGACACCCCCCAGCCCACGACCGCCACCGCAACCATCCCCACCGCCGACGTCGCCGACCCGACCACCTACGCCCGCTACGAATGGCTCGCCACCTCGACGCCCCAACTCATCCGCCTCGCGCACGAGGACGTCCCCGGCCTAAGCACGACCTGGACGCGCGCAGGGACGAGCATACCCGTCACGACGCGACGCCACGCCACCACGACGACGACAACCGCCAGCGGCATCAACAGCATCAACACCGAAAAACCCACCCCAACCACCCCAACCGCCACCCCCAACCCCACCCCCAACGCCCTCGCCATCCTCGACCTCTCCACCCCCACCCACCCGCGCCTCGCCCCGGCACCGCCGCCCTCCCCCCCAACAAAAAAGCAAAAGAACAAGAAGAAATCCAAACCCCTCTCCCTCCTCGCATCGTCAGGCGCCCGCGACGGCCCCCGCGCCGGCAGCACGTCGGGCGGCGTCGAGATGCGCTCCACCACGACCACGACCACGACCACGACCACCCCTCTCCCCAAACTGCTGCCCGAAATCAAACTCTGCGAGGTGAGCGGTTCGACGACGGCGGAGCTGGGCGGGGGTGAGGGGGATCGGCTGGGCGAGGGGGACGCAGACGCGTCGCAGCGGTCCGGGTCGGGAAGCACGGCGGTGGGGGTGGCGGTCAAGGCGGCGGGGGATGCGGCGGCGGCGGAGTGCGTCGCTGCGCATGCTGCTGCTGCGCATGCTGCTCATGCTGCTGCGGGGACGGGGGTTGGTGGCGGTGCGGGTGCGGGTGCGGGTGCGGGTCTGGGTGGTGGGAGGGAGAGGGAGGGGGCAACCACCACCGGCGGAGGTAGGAGGGCTAGGGAGACGAGGGAGGAGCAGCGGCGGAGGGAGATCAGGGAGAGGGAGGATGTTTTGTTGAGCGAGCCGCTGCTGCCGGATTATGAGAATTGGCCGTTGCCGCCGAGTGGGTCGTTGACGCCGACGGGGGAGGGGGAGGCCGGGGAGAGGGAGGGGGAGAGGGAGCGGCGGAGGAGGGATGGGGGTGGTGGTGGTGGTGGCGATGATGGTGTTGGGGCTGGTGATGGGGGCGAGCAGCTGGGTGCAGGGCGGGTGAGGAGGAAGAGGTCGGAGGGGGCTTTTTTGTAGTGTGCGGGTGTGTTTGGTGCTGTACGTTTTGGGTTCGGTTGTAGCTGCATTGTTGCAAGTGGAGAGTGTATAGATACGAGGCTGGAGTAGTGATTTCTATGGTACATTCATATCATCATATCAAAGGCTTGACGTCAACCCAAGCACTTTTGCCAAGACGTAGCTGGAAAGCCGCGCAACAAGCCACATACGCCCAATCCCTGATCAGCCTGATTACCGCGCGCGGGGTGGCCTTCCCCACGTCCAGCCACTTGTTGTTGGCGGTCGAGTTACCGGTTGGGGCAATACTTGGCGCCATCCACTCTATTTTCCGAATGCGGCAACACGGATCGACCAAAGGTGAGGTGTACAAGCGCTGTGGCGTGTTTCGCGCCCAGGACTGCAAATGCAAGCGCCAGCACGCGCCAGAACGCGCCAGTCACGCCGCACTCAGGCTTTTGCGGGAAAGCGCGGTGGGCGCCAGCGTCGCGTGTTGGGACGCGACGCGACGTACGCCAAGGCCGGGGTTCGGTCACAGAAACTGCTGCAGCTGGGGATCCCTCCGCTTCGACTCCACAGCGCCCACCGCTTTCCCCGGATAGATCTCCTGATGCGGACAGCCTGTGCCATCCCGGCCCGACTCACCAGTTCCAAGAATCCGGCAACACTCTCTCGTCTCCAACGGCGTGCTGTACTCACGCGCCGTGGTGACGGGTGTCCGAGGCAGCGGTCCGCGATCAGCACGACTCTGGACCATGCAGCTCATCAATAATCTCCAGACGCGCGCGGCGAGCAAAGGTGCCGCAGGGCAGCAGCACTACCGGCCCAACGAAGCGCGACGGATTTAAAGCTTGCGAACGGTGCCCGCCTCGGCTCGCGGCCAATCCCACCGTGGTCCCTCCTCCATTTGGTCATCGTGGAGCCGGGTGCCAGGCAAGGGTGCCGTCGGCAGCGTCGCCCCAACCGTGGCGGCGCAAACCGGCTTAGCCCTGCTCGCAATCACCCTGGGCTCATCTAAGCGCCCGCATCGACCTTTCTCGCCCGTCCAATCCTGCCAATGAATCAGGCGAGCCCTGTTGATGCTGCATATATAAATCCGAAGCCTGCACCAACACCATGTCCGAGCCTGCATTCCGGGGCCCCGCATTTCCTTTGCTTTGCATCCCTCGTCGTCGCTCGCCTTTCATTCCAGCTGTCGTCCCACATTCGCCATGGTCTTGACTGGGAAAGCCCTTGATTGGGCCATTACCCTCTGCTCTGGCGCTGGCTTCCTCCTCTTCGGGTATGTTCACAACATTTGCCTGTCTCGCGAAAACGCACCAAACAATGCTATACTGACAACCCGACACAGTTATGACCAAGGCGTCATGTCCGGCCTGTTGACAGGCACCGCATTTACCAAGGTTTTCCCCGAAATCGATACACAAAGGGGAGGTAGCTCGTCTCTTCAGGGCACTGTCGTCGCCATCTACGTTAGTCACCCCCTGAATCTGCAAAGCCGGCCAATCTAACGTGGTCGCCAGGAAATCGGATGTTTCTTTGGAGCAATCTTTACCTTCATCTTCGGCGAGCGTTTGGGACGTCGCAAGTGTATCATGCTTGGCTGCACCGTCCTCACCATCGGTGCCGTCATCCAGTGCTCCTCATATGGCATCGCTCAGCTTATCGTCGGCCGTATCGTTGCTGGTCTTGGAAATGGTTTGAACACTTCAACCATTCGTAAGCCCCTCTCCGCCATGCATTCGAGTCCCGCCACTAATGCTCCATGCAGCTGTCTGGCATTCTGAGCTCATGCAGGCCCACGACCGTGGCAAGGGTCTCGCCATCGAGTTCATCCTGAACATTTTCGGTGTCGCCCTGGCCTACTGGGTCGACTATGCCTTCAGCTTTGTGGACAACGAGTCTCAGTTTCGGTAATTTACCCCTTGCTCCAAACCCCGCCAAGTACTGACCATGCTTTCAGCTTCCCCATCGCTTTCCAGATTCTATTCGCCCTCGTTTGCCTTGGCATGATCGTCTTCCTCCCGGAGTCCCCCCGTTGGCTGCTCAACCATGGCCAGGACGAACAGGCCCGCAACGTGCTCTGGCGCCTCCAGCCCAACGCCAAGGAGATTGGCGAGGACGCGGAACCCGTCAACAACGAAATCGCTATCATCCGACACACTCTGTATGAGGAGAAGGAGATCGCCGGCGGCACCACTTTCACCGCACTTCTCAAAGACGGCCCTCAGCGCTTCCGCTACAGAACCCTTCTTGGTATCGGTGGCCAATTCATGCAGCAACTCAGCGGAATCAATTTAATCACTTATTATGCCGCCGTCATATTCGAAACGAGCATTGGCATGTCGCACAATACGGCGTTGCTCGTTGCTGGGGCGAACGGCATCGCGTACTTGTAAGGCACCAATGCTGCAAGGCATCCACGGAGCCTTGACCTCAGAACTTCAGATGCAGGTTGCTAACACTACGGGTAACAGTCTCTCTACATTCCCTGTTGTCTGGGTTCTCGATCGCCTCGGCCGCCGTAAGCTCATGCTCTTCGCCGTCATCGGCCAATCCTGCTGCATGGCCATTCTCGCTGGCACCGTCTCTGATGGCAGCAAATCGGCCGGTATCGTCGCTGCCATCATGCTTTTCCTCTTCAACTTCTTCTTCGCCATCGGCCTGCTCGCCATCCCCTGGCTGCTTCCCGCCGAATACGCGCCGCTTGCCATTCGTACCAAGGCGGCATCGCTGGCCACCGCTTCCAACGTACGTTAGGATACTTATCCCAAAACATGTTTGTATTCCCAGGTTACTGACAAGTTTGTAACACAGTGGATCTTCACCTTCCTCGTCGTCGAGATCGTGCCCGTCTCCATCAACAGCATCGGCTGGAAAACGTACATCTACTTCGCCATCTTCAACGCCTTCTTCGTGCCCCTCATCTACTTCTTCTACCCGGAGACCAAGAACCTCTCGCTCGAGGAAATCGATCGACTCTTCACCGGCGACAAGGTCATCATGCACCTGCCCGACAGCATGCGCCTCTCCGCCGACACCGCTGCCATCAGCGGGAACATGGGCGCCGATAAAGATGGAGTCGCCGTGCTAGAGGATGTCAAACTCAAGGAGCAGGCTTAGGAAGTGGATTTTAGTTGCTACCTGCTGCGAACCAAGCACTTTTTTGGGCGCTATCCCCGAATGATGGGCTTATAGGCTGTATTGGGCTTCCTTTTTTCTTTTTTGAACTATTCCCGGTAGCGTTGGACACCTACCACCTTCAACGAAGGTAAAAGCTCTTCGAGGTCGAAGATTTGAGATATGAGATACGCGATAAGATTCAAAACAATACACTGTTTTTGGGTGGGCAGCTGAAGCAAACCACCGGACGCAGATGTAGACATTAATACTTTTCCCACAACGAGAGTTGAAGAGATTGTCCAGACATGAATGTAAAAACTACCATGCTTACTATATGAGTAATTGGAGAAAATATCTGGACACAGATGTGAACATTAACATGATTGCTACATGGGTATAAAGAACATGTCCGGACGTAAATGAAACCATGAACATATTCTCTACACGGGCACCTGAAGACAATGTCCGAATATGAAAGCAATGCTTATAACTGTACAAACGCATCCGGATATGTGATTCGAGTACCCACGTAAGCGGGCCGCACATCTCAGTGCGGGAATAAGCCTACTACATGTTGTAGGCCGATCCCGATACCGCCCCCGAGTCAGTAATGCGCGCATTGCTGATTCAGCCACAGCCGGGGAGCGCCGCGTATTACCTGATTTAACTGCGCACCAAAAGAAAACATTTGCCGTGGCTATCCTTCCGAATTCGGTACCTATAGACGCCGCCCTGCTTACTGTTTTCGGTTATTTTCCTCAAGACACTAACAAGGCGCAGCAAATGGCTTCAGTAGGTGCTGAAGACGGATTCAGATCCTGGCCGAGTGCTCTAGCTATGTGTCGAGGCCGCAGTCCACGAACGAGCATAATGCGGAGGTGCTGCGGTGGGGGAGGGGCACCCAGAGAAGCTTACGCTTTCCTCTCTGGGAAACTGCCCCTCATTTTTGAGCAAAGGTACTATGACCATTCCCCACGCCCTGAAGCGGAAATGTAGGACGCTGCTCGAGAGCCGGAAACTCTTAAATAAACCTCCCGCCGTCACAAAGAGGGCTTGGTAGGCCGCCGTCTCTTCCGCTGTTGAAGTGCTCCTCCTTGTGCCTTCTCTTCCTCCACTTCCTCGACCCAACCGCCTTCCTCCCCCTCGGCCTCCTCAACATCAGCCATGGCACCCTCGATCGTGTCCGACACCGCCCTTCCCGCGGAAATCCCCGAGTCGAGCCTGACGCCTGCAGCTCAGGCACCGGTCGATAAGCTTTTCGGGCTCAAGGGGAGGACGATAGTGGTGACGGGCGGAGCGCGTGGTCTCGGCATCACGCTTGCTACGGCCGTGGTCGAGGCCGGCGGCGACGTCGTCTGCCTTGACATTCTGGCCGAGCCGAGTGCGGATGAATGGGCCGGTCTGAACAAGCTCACCAAGCTCGCGTCGACGCCGCAGCATGCCAGCTACAAGAAGTGCGACATCACAAACGAGGCCGAGGTCGAGGCCGTCATCCAAGAGGCGGCGCAGGAAGCCACGGCAAGAGGCACCCCCATCAAGGGCCTGATCAACTGCGCGGGCATCCAGCAGATGAAGGACGCCTTCGACTACCCGGTCGACGGCTACAGGCGCATCATGGAGGTCAACGTCGTCGGCAACTTCACCGTGGCCAAGCACGTTGCGCGGGTGCTGAGGGACGGCGGCAAGGGTGGCAGCATGGTCTTCATCGCCTCCATGTCCGGGCAGATCATGAACCGGGTAAGTTGCACGGCGCCTGAGCTTTCCCCATCCACCGATTTGGTGACACGGCGCTGACCTTGGCACAGGGACTGCACTGCTCGGCCTACAACTCGTCCAAGGCGGCGGTCCACCAGATGACGCGCTCGCTAGCCGCCGAATGGGGCCCGCACGGCATCCGCGTCAACTCGCTGTCGCCCGGCTACATCCGCACCGCAATGACGGACCAGCTGCTGGTGGAGAAGCCCGAGGTGGAGGAGACGTGGATGAGGGGAGCGGCACTGGGCCGTCTGGGCGCGCCCGAAGACTTCAAGGCCGGTGCCATTTTCCTGCTGGCCGACGGCAGCGCGTGGCAGACGGGCTCCGACCTGCGCATCGACGGCGGGCACTGCGCCTCGGCGTGAGCGCAGGCAGGCGGGGAAGCGGTCAAGGCTTGTATTACTTATGATTGTGCATGGGGGATTGGGATTCCTGGGCGGCGTCAGGCATAAACATTCATTGGGTAGACGGAGCAACGGTTGCTATAATTCTTTGCTGTGCACGAGAACACGTTGCCAACCGTGCAGTTTCACCGCTGAGTCAGGGAGCATCGTGTCCAAGCCGCGATGGGCGCATAAACGCGTGAGCGCAAGCCTGGAAGCCCGGCACGCGTAAGCGATCGGCTAATTAATGGGCGACCTGGGATTATTGTGGGATCGGCGGCCTGGCCTGGCGTTGGGATGAGCAACGCGTCCGTCCCGCGATCGCATTCCCCGAGTTGGCGCAAGCTGTGGGGAGGCGCCAGCCAGCCCTAAACCCCACGGTCCGCCGCGCTTTTGCAGCCACCACCCAAGCACCTGTCTGCTGCTTCTCAATGGAGGCCCCCGCACCTGCAAGTCACACAAGCTGCTACGGCTCAATCCACAGCTGCTGGACATGTCCTCGCCCGCCAACCACTTCCGACTGACGCCCTCCAACCCCCGCGAGACGAACCCCCGTGCCAAGCGCGCCTCTGCGCCTGCCAGCGACTCGGTGCAACCTCCGCCCGACGCCTCGCTCAAGAGGAAGCGCGGCCGCCACGGCTGTCTGAACTGCCGCCGCAAGCGAAAGAAATGCACGTCGACGAGCGCCTGTCCAATGCTTCGCTCACACTGCTAACTTCTCTTTCTGCCCCAGGTGACGAGGTCCATCCGACCTGCACAAAATGCCAAAAGCACGGCGAGTCCTGCGAGTGGGATACTGGCGTCATCTTCCGCCACAATGGCCTCTCCAGCGAGCATCCGTCCATGCGCGAGATTGGCCGCCATAGCCAGCACCGCCATACGGACTTCACTGTATGCCAATCGTCTCCTCGACCCTCCGCTCTGACTGAGAGTCGGCCGCACTCACGCCTGCCAGATCATCGATGTCACTTCGTCCGTCATGCGATCATGCCGGGAAGATGACAATTCGGCCGAGGATTATCAGGACACTACCGCCTCAACACCGCTAGGAAGCGAGCCGCGCGACAGTTGGCCCTGGAAGCACAATGACGACTCTGCTGCTGCTTCCCGCTCCACCAGAGCATTCTCCTCGGGCTCGTCTGAGCAAGCCAGGTCCCGAAGCGACGCTCAGTCCCCCGTTCAACACCACAATAACCCGGCTTCTGTGCCGAAATTCCAAGCCCCTGCCATACCGCACGGCCCGGATCCGGAAAATCGTATGCCCTCGTTTAAGGCCCATGGAGCCGCTGAAAAGTCCCAGGCAGACGCCAGCGATAGAGGCGGTCAGGGGCGTATAAGTGGAAACGGGGCCATACTGAACGACCAACAGCGCACAGACGGGGGCTCGCCTGCACACCCTCACTTGAACCGAACTAGCTCATCCTCAACCTACTCGACCGTTCGCTCCGGATTACCCACACCTACCTCCGCACCGCCCGGAAATACTCATCTGTACGATCTTGACCACGAAGCGCCAGCTTTGTCTCTTTCCGCAGGAGAGCTAGCCGCCCTGGATTTCTTGACATCCCAGCCCACGCAACATGCTCCGCATGAGCTGGCAATTGCAGATCATGACGGACCCTGGATATCCCAAGATATGAACGCAGAGGTGTCCTCTGCTTTTTCAAACGATCCAGTCATGGTCGACTCGCCATCGAATGGCCTCTACTATCCAAGCCACGCCTACAAGGACCTACAGCAGAACTTGCACAGCCATATCATTGAGACTGCCCGTAACAGTGGGCTCACTAGGCACGGAACTCCAGATTTGCCTATGGAAGGAGCCCACCATGGCATTTCGGGTCATGATCCGGACACTGTTGGCCGGGCTGCCGCAAGGCTCGAATCCATGACCCATCCACCGCCCACGAAGACTTTGAAGGAGCAGCGCGAAATCGAGCTTTGGCAGAATTACTTCAACGAGGTGGCTCCCTGGCTTGACAAATTTGATAACCAGCGGCACTTTCAGTTCTCTATCCCTGTCATGGCAAAGACTTGCCCTCACCTGCGATACTCGGCTTTGGCGCTCTCTGCTCGGCAGCAGGAACGAAAAGATCCGTCCAGACCATACACCGAGAGCCTTGGGCTTTATCAAGAAGCAATCCAGAACCTAGTCCCCGAGCTTGAGACCATGAGCACCGAAGTCATCGCTTCGAGTGTCTTGCTGTGTGTTCTGGAAATGATCATCGTATCGCCCAAGGACTGGGGTCGGCATCTCGACGGCTGTGCCATTCTTCTCCAGGCCGCGAACATCACCGGTGTTTCGGGCGGCGTGAATCAGGCACTGTTCTGGTGTTTCGCGCGCATGGACGTCTGGGGCGGCTATCTTTCCGACAACTGCACCAAGGTCCCCCTAGATCGCTGGCTCTCCTCTCACGTCCCCATGTCGACCGCCGTGAACCTCTTCAAGAACGAATGCAAAGGCTTCGACGCCTATGCAAACTACGCTGTGTTCTTGTCAGCCTCGGTCGTCAACGTCATCAACGGCCGGGGCGACACGGTCTCGAACCCAGAAGCCCGGGCCGAGTACGTCGCGCGCTGGAAGGCGCTGTGGGACCTCGTCGAGGACTGGTACAACTCGCGGCCCGTCGAGATGCAGCCGCTGCTCTCGTACCCGGCGTCGTTTGACGACTACGACTTCCCTTTTCCCAAGATCCTGTACGGCAACCCGCCGGCGACCAACGGCAACCAGCTCTACCACTTTTGCGCCATCCGCCTGCTGCAGGAGAAGCCAAAGGAGGTCGTGCTGCGGTCGAACAGTCACAACCATCATCACCACCAGCAGAACAATAGCAACAGCAGCGGCAAGAAGAACGCGAAGAGCTTGATCTGGCACGCCCGCCAGATTTGCGGCATCGCCGCCAGCAACAGCCATCACGGGGCCTGGATCAACGGCCTGCAGCCGCTGTGGGTGGCGGGCAAGCTGATGAGCCACCCGAGCGAGCATCGGGCGATTCTGAGCATCTTGGCGAGGATAGAGAACGAGAGCGGGTGGGCGACCAAGTGGCGGGCGGATGAGTTGAAGGAGTATTGGGGAGCGGATGCGTGACCGGGATTGGAATGTGGTGGGTGTTGTTGTTAGGTTAGGGCCGGGGCTTGTTTTCCGGGCCGAGTCGTGGCTTTGTGGGAGTAGCTTGTCTGGACTAGGTATGCCGGCCTGCATGTACTTTGAAAAGGGAAAGGGGGGTTCGAAAAGTATAGAAAGAATTCTATGCCATTGTCACCAAGTTTTGTGAATGAACCAGGTTGAGATTCGCATTGGATTTTGATCACATTTACTCCGTGTCCGGCACGATTCTGATTCCTACAAAGCCACTCGGGATAGGGATCCTTTCCGCAAGCATTTGTGGGTCAGGGAACAGTGTAACTTATTAAATTATCTTTTGTTTGTATTTGATTTTGTACTATCTAATGTTTAGATATTAATTGTCTTTACGTTGTATGTTCCTTTTTGCTTTTTCGAGAGAGATGGATTTTCTCCAGAGCTGAGATTTGGGGGTATGCCGAAACAGAAAAACGGTCCAAAAAAACGCCGTCAAAGAGCAGAGAGACTGCTGCACCACACACACACACACACAAACACGCCATTAACCCGGGCCTGGGAATCTCATCCAAGCCCAGCAACACCACCACCCCGTCCTCCTCCTCCATGTTTACACCGAATCCTGCGTCTTCTTCTCGACATCAGCCTCGTCGCCGTCACTCCTCGTCTGGACATCCGAGTCCACAGTCTTCTCATTCTCCTTCTCCTTCTTATTGTTCTGCAACGCCACCGCCTCCTCATCCCTCACCGTCTTCACATTCTTCCACTCAATGACGCTGCTCCCAAACACGCTCAAGCACGTCATGGCCAACGCGACGGTAAACGCCTTGACCAGCGCCGCATTATACGCCGTCAAGACCGCGCCGAGCTGCGCGTCGTCGCTGACGACGTTCCTCAGCTGCGTGGCGCCGGTGGCGACGATGCGGGCGGGGCTGAAGTCGGCGGTGGCGAGGGCGCGCAGGCCGCGGGCGAGCTCGTTGGTGAAGACGTTCTGGCAGACGGAGACGAAGACGGCGCCGCCGAGCTGCTGGGCGAAGAAGACGAGCGTGACGCCGACGGGCACGTCGGCGCGCGGCAGCACGCACTGCACCGCGATGTTGGCCTGCTGCATGCCGAGGCCGAGCCCGAGGCCGAAGAGGACCTGGTAGCCGAGCCAGGCGGGGCGATCGGTAGACGTGGTGAAGGTGGTGAGCAGGCCGGCGCCGGCGGAGGCGACGGCGCTCGAGGCGAGCAGGAACGGCGCGTAGTACCCCGTGCGGCTGACGCAGATGCCGGTGAGGATGCTGCCGACGACGAGGGAGAGGACGACGGGGAGGAGCATGAGGCCTGACGAGACGGCCGAGACGCCCTTGATGGCTTGGAACCAGATGGGCATGTAGTAGACGACGCCCATCATGGCGGCGGAGGTGCAGAAGACGAACCAGAAGGCGCCGGCGACGGTGCGCTGCTTGATGATGCGGGGGGCGACGGTGGCGGTGTCGTTGCGGTTGGCGGCCTGGACGGCGACGAAGGCGGCGAGGAGGAGGCCGCCGAGGACGAGGAGGGCGACGACGCGCGCGCTGCGCCAGGCGTACGTGGTGCCGCCCCACTGCAGCGCGAGGAGGAGGCAGACCATGCCGGGGACGAAGAAGGCGTTGCCGAGCGGGTCGAGCTGCAGGATCTTGGCCTTGGCGCTGAGGGCGGCGTTGGTCGGCGGTGCGGTCTGCTTGAGCACGAAGAAGACGACGACGGCGACGACGGCGCCGATGGGCAGGTTGATGTAGAAGCACCATCTCCAGGTGGCGTGGTCGGTGAAGGCGCCGCCGAGGAGAGGCCCGACGACGCTGGCGATGCCGAACAGGGCTCCGGCCATGCCTTGGATGATGGGACGCTTTCGGAGCGGGACGAGGGGGATGGTCAAGAGGATGCCGCCGGAAAAGACGCCTCCTGAGCCCATTCCGGCGATGGCGCGGCCCACGATGAAGACGGTTGAGTTGGGAGCTGCGCCGCAGATGGCCGAGCCGGCCTCGAAGAGGAACAGTGAAGTCAAGTACACGACCTTTTGGTTGTAGAAGGTGTAGATGCGTCCGACCAGCAGCTGGGTCGTGCAGCCGGTAAGCATGTAGGCGGAGCCATACCAGCCGACATCTCCCAATGAGTGGAATTCATTGGTGATGATGGGAATTGCGGTTGCAATGATGGTCCTGTCCTGTTGGCACAACCAAGGTCAGCTTTGTGGCTTAGAAGTGGCGTTGCAAGGGATGAACAAAGATCTGACAGTCGTTTTCTTTGACGTCAACGCGACTTACCAGAGCGACGACGAACAGGCCCAGATATACGGTGATGATGATGGGAATGGCGATTTTGGCAGACGGGTATGCAGTTTCGGCAGGGGTTTGGGCTGCTTCCACGTCCTTGGCCTTGTCCTGAGCGGGTTGTTCCACCTCGGCGCTTGCTGGCGGGGGTTGAGCGGGGACGTCTGACATGTTCTCGCTCATGCTGTGCTGAAGTGTTTGTAGGTCGGGAGCGTGATGGGTGAGCAATGACAAGCAGTTGCCAAGAAAGGATACAAGGCTTGCTTAATAGCCCGGGTGGAGGTTAAAGGAGGCAGCCACTGGCAGGCACATTGTTGCAAAAAGTTGCTGCCTTGGTGGTGGCTGGCGGGGCGTCGCGTTTAGCTGAAGCCGACCCAATGGCTTTCACTCCGTGCGCGCGAGGAAGGGACAAAGAGGCGTGACGCGCGGACCCCTTGCTGGGGGAGGGGACCCGAACAGCTCGGGCAATGTCGCGCCGACTCGCCGAGACTGCAGCACCAGGCCGGCCTGGCCAGCCAATGACGCGAGTGCATGGGGCGGCCCCGAACGGGGGTGGAACAAGTCCGCCCGTCGGACATCCGGGCCTCCATTGCCTCAAGTACCGCGCTCGCCCGCGCTCGCCCGCTGTGTCCCCAAAGGTTGGCCCGAGAGCCCGTCTGAGGTCTCCGTCTCTAGCCCTCTGGCTCGCAATCTCGCAATGGACTCCGCAACACACCCAGCAACGCCCGCGTCCGTGGCTCCGAGGCAGACGGCCGACAGCGGCGTGGCCCCGCGACCTCCGCTGCAGGCAGCCCCCGCAGCCCAGTTGCCCTCGCTGGGCCAGTCGCCTGCCGCCGTGCCAACCCCGAGCTCCTCTGACTCCGGCCAGCCCTTGAAGCCCAATGCATGTATCAGCTGCCAGCGCCGCAAGGTCAAATGCGACCGCCTGGAGCCGTGCTCGTCATGCAAGCGCTACCGCGCCCAGTGCGAGTTCCGCGACCCTGCCCCGCGCCGCAAGAGAAAGCTCAGCGATGAGGATCTCCACGCGAAACTCGATCGCTACGAGTCCATTCTGAACAGCTTCGGCGCCCGTGTTGACGCAAGATCCGAGTCTGCCGCTGCCGAGAGGCCCGCCTCCACTGCGCTGCCAGCCGCGCCCTCAGCCTTCACCCCCTTGAACGCCCCTCCGCCTTCATCCTACCACCATACTCCCTCCGCACCATCCAATGATGCTCTTCCAGCCCGCCCCGCCGCCGCCGCCGCTGCTGCTGCCCCCACCGAGGAAAACGGCCGCCTTATCTTCGAGAAGGGCAGCTCCAGGTACTTAGAGAACAGCCTCTGGAAGGGCATTTCTGAGGAATTCAGGACTCCAGGAGACATGTTGCGCCTTCCTGCTGCCGCTGGCACTCCGCCAGCCGGTGTGACCGCTGAAGCTCCCTCGCTGGTTGCCAGTGAGCTTGTTCTCGGACTCGTGCTGAACCCTCCTGGCAGCCTTCGCCTCCTCCACCCTCAACCCCCGCACATCTTCCTTCTCTGGCAGGCTTTCCTCGATAACGTCAATCCACTAACAAAGCTTCTGCACGCTCCTACCGTCCAGCGTCAGATTCTCAAGGCTACCACCAACCTAGACGCCGTCGACTCGGGAATTGAGGCTCTGATGTTTGCCATCTACACCTTCGCCGTCGTCTCGTTGAGCCCCGAGGAATGCCAATCCACTTTCGGTGAAAGCAAAGCTCAACTGCTCCCAAAGTTTCAGCATGGGACAAAGTTGGCCTTGCATCGTGCTGAGTTCCTGCGCTCATCGCAGCTCGTTGTCTTGCAGGCCTACATTCTGTACCTGGTAAGCAGCTGCGTTTTCAGCTAACCCCACTTGTCTGTACAGACGCAATACCTGAAGAAGGCTTGGGTACACTCGCCCAGCTGGACGCGATAGCATTGGGTTCATGGTAGTGGCGCCTGGAAAGCATCAGCGCTGACTTCTACTGCAGCTAGCCATGCGCCCTTACTACGACATCCAAACACTTTGGTCCCTTTCGGCGGTAGCCATTCGCATGGGTCAAAGGATCGGCCTCCATCAAGATGGAAGCAAGATGGGCCTTCCACTCTTCGACATCGAGATCCGTCGCCGCGTTTGGTGGCAGCTCATGCCACTCGACCTGCGGACGGCAGAGCTTGCAGGCGGCACCGCTTCCCTGTCGTCCAAAACGTGGGACGTAGAGCTCCCCCTGAACTGCAACGACAGCGACCTGGACCCGGACATGAAACAGCTCCCCGTCGAGCACACGGGGCCGACCGAGATGTTCTTCTGCAACATGCGCTACCACTTCGGCAAGTTCATGAAGCGCTCCACCGGGGGGTCCTACTTCGACCTGCGCTCCCACGCCGAGGACGACGCCAAGCTCAGCCTGACGAGCAACGCCATCACGCTCGCCGAAAAGGACCGCAAGATCGAAGGGCTCGAAAGCCACCTCGAAGAGCACTTCCTCCGCCACTGCGACCCCTCGGTCCCCCTGCACTACCTCTCCGCCATCGTCGCGCGCTGCGCCCTCTGCGTGATGCGGCTCATCGCGCACCACCCCCGCCGCTACTCGGACAAGGGCCTGTCCCTGCCGCAGTCGGAAAAGGACTTCCTCTTCCGCACGACGCTCAAGATCGTCGAGCTCGACAACCTCGTCCACGCCGACCCGAGCCTGCACCGCTTCATGTGGCACATGGACGCCTTCTTCCAGTGGGAGGGCTTCATCTACCTCGTCGGCGAGCTGCGCGCCCGCACCGACGCCGCCCACGACCCGGACGTCGACCGGGCCTGGTTCCACGTCAACAAGGTGCTCGAGAACCACGCAGACATCCTCGACATCCGCCGCAACCCCCTGCATCTCGCCGTCGCGAGCTTGGCGACAAAGGCGTGGGATGCGTTCGTCGCCGACGCGGCCGAGCGCGGCCAGAGGGCGGGCAGGGCGCCGCCGCCGCCGGAGCTGCGTGATTATCCGGCCTTGGAGGTGCTGGTGTCGAAGCTGAAGGAGGTGAGGTCGAGGTCGCCGCCTGAGTCGCTGCCGGGGCAGGGGCAGGGCCAGGGGCAGGGCCAGGGGCAGCAGAAGCAGTCGTTGTCGTCGCTCACGGGGTTCGGGGAGAGGAGGGAGGTAGACCGTGCTACGGGCATCTCCAACAATGGCGGGGCGGGAGCAGCGCAGGGTAACGGGATGTCGTCGGAAGGATGGGCCGGTGTGTCGCTGCCGAACGGCCTGGATGCGAGCCCGATGGATTGGGACATGTGGGATGAGATGCTTGCCGAGTTCGGCTTGGGCATGGAGGCTTTCGGTGGATATACGGTGACGAATAAATGAGGTTGGGATGCGCACGTGTTTGTGAATGTCCTTGCTGGACGATCGGAGTTCAGCTGGAGAAGGGATCTGTACTGATGGCGGGTCCTGATGTAGATAACTCACAGACGAAGGTTTTACGAAGTAATGGTCAGTACATACGTTACGTCATCCGCTTGTCGCGGTACAAAACTGTTTGTAGGGGGAAATATACTTTTACTGCTCATGCAACCCCTCAACTGCTTGTTTGACTGCGCCTGTTTGTAATAGTACTTCGCGAACCGACCCTGCACACAAAACAGTTCTTTTAAGTGTCGGATAGAATGACCACTTCGAGCGGAAACACATGTCCCATTCGAGCAGAGCAAGCGATGGACGGTCCTCATGCTGGATATCTTACGAAAAGGAGGACGTCGTCTTGACGCCCTCCAGGACCAATTGACTTTACATTCGCACCTTGAAGAAAAGGAATAAACTCTACCCTTTATAAAAGGCTTTTCCCCAATATTTACTTCAACAGCTTCCTCACGCTGGTCTCCATCCAGAGCTTGGCATACTCGCGATGCAAGAACTCGAACCACCAAGGCAGGTTGCCCTTGACTTTGCCGTCGGGCGTCGAGTTGAAAAAGAAGCTCTTCATGTGGAACGTCGCGAACTTGTCGTCCTTGTTCACCTCCATCGAGAATATGCCATCCGATGGCCGGGGCCCAGTCTTCAGTGGCGAATCACCGCAGCGGACGGCCACCTAAAAGAAACGGAATCGCCATTCAGTCAGCCCTCACATCGCATTGGAAGAAAGAGAGTCGTGACTAATACGTCAAGCGTGTGTAGCTCAAAAGCCATCAAATGAAAAAAAAAAAGAGAAAAAAAAGAGAGTGAGAGAAAAAAAAACAGAGAGCTCATCCGTACTACTCACCTTCCCCGGAGTATGCTCCACCACCTCAAAATGATCCGCAATCTTCGTCCCGACCTTATAATCGCTCTTGGCCAGCTCCTCGCGGTCCCACAAATGGTCGTCGCGGCCCTCGAGGGTGCGATACTTCTTCTCGAGGAAGCGGCGCTGGTACGCGAAGCCCAGCCCGGACCACACGCCCGCGCAAAAGTCGCGCGTCAGGACGTCGAGGTCTTCGGTCTTCAGGTCGCTCAGCGGCACCCGGCGCACGGCGTGGTCGACGCAGGCGGGCGGGTTGTCCGACGGGTTGCGCTGCTTGAGGAGCGGGGCCCACGACAACCAGGCCGGAGACGTGGGCGAGAAGGGGACGAAGTGCGTGTCGCGCGTGTAGAGCTTCCAGCCGGCGCCGAAGGCGGCGGCGCCCGCGGCGGTGGTGGTGAGGACGGATTTGAGGATCGCCATTGCGGAGGGAGGGTGGGAGGTGGTGGTGTGATGCTGGGTTCTTCCGAGGCCAATTGATGAGGGTCGATTGGGGATGATGCGATGGTCAATGGGTCGAGGAATTGAAGATGTGAGTGATCGGATGGGAGGAAAGGGTGTGATGTGCTGCTGGAGAGGCTGGGTGGGGTGGGGAAGGTGGAGTGGAGAGAGCAGGGCGAGCTCGCGTGCTGGCAGCGAACCGGGTGATGTCGTGTGTCAGCAAAGGTCGAGCTACTTTACCCTCGGAGCGTCGGCCCTGCTCGGGTTTCCGAGAGAGCAGCAGCGTGAGATAGTAGGAGCTTGGGCCGTCGTCTCAATGGCAACCGTCGCGACTCGCGACCCCGCCTCGTCGGCCCGCTTGGCGTTGGGTTTTTGGCCGCGGCGGCAGCGGCGTCCGTGCGGCACGGGCCAGGAACGCGCGACACGCGACTGCTCGACAGAAGCGCGTCGTGCAGCTAGCTGTCTGCGTACTCCAGCTCGGCTTGATGACTTGTCACGACTGCTTTGACGCGTCTTGGCCCTCAATCGCATCAGCCTTGAAGGTCGGTCTACGGCACACCGGCAACTTGTGCCTACCCCGAGCAGACCGATTTACGAGAGCCATGTCCCGACTCCACCGCCAGTCAGAACACCTATCTCTTCCCCCTCGTACTCCGCCATAGATGTCATCCACCAGCCGTCGTAGAGCGACGACCGCAGAAGATGGCTTCCGGTACTCGGCCCTAGACTCGTGGCACAACCAGATCCGTCTGATGAAGCTGCAGCCCGTCCCCAAGTCCACCGACGGAGCCGGCTACCTCCCCATCATCAGCTGCACGCTGCGGACCGCCAGCCTCGAGGATGAGCCAGAATACTCCGCCCTGTCGTACGTCTGGGGCGACCCGAACACCACACGCCCGATCCTCATTGACGGCAAGGCATTCCACGTCACGGTCAACCTGGAGGTAGCGCTGCGGCAACTGGCCGAGGAGCTGCGGCAGCGCCGGCACAACCCGACCTGGCTGTGGGTAGACGCCATATGCATCAACCAGCACGACACGACGGAACGGACGCATCAGGTGTGCCAGATGGACCAGATTTACCGGCGGGCGTCTCGGGTTGTCGTCTGGCTGGGACCCAGCACGCCGGACAGCGACGCCGCCATCGCCGCTCTCGAGACCGTCTACTCGATCGCGGAGACGTCGCGTACCAAGCATTGGGTGCGCTCGTGGCCGCTTTTCCAGTTCCAGGAGGCGCCACGGCCTGAGACGTCGGCGCACCGCATCCAAGCGGCGCTGGACGAGGTGCTCGGGTTACTACGGGCGGATGGGTGCCGCGCGCTAGACGCGGTGGCCGCGCTGTTCACGCGCGACTGGTTCCGCCGCGTATGGGTTCTGCAGGAGGTGGCTCTGGCCAAAGACGCAGTATTGTTGTGCGGCGACGCGAGTATCCACTGGCAACGCTTCTACACGGCTTTCTGGATGCTGTGCGGCCTGCGCGACTACCTCAATGCAGCCGTCGTCTCGCCCCGCGTTGTCACCACCGCTAACATGGCCACCGCGGCCTTCCTCGACGCCAAGCTGCAGAACGTGGGGTCCGCCGCCTTCAGCTGGGTGCTCGCCGGCAGTGAAACTCCCCTCCGCCAGTTTTTGTATTTCCTGGGAGCAAACGCCGACAACTCGCGCCTGCTGGCGTCGGACCACCGCGACTACTACTTCGCCTTGGTCGGCTTGGCCAGCGACGCCCAGCAGCTGAAGGTGCGCGTCAACTACGAGAAGTCGTGGCGGGATGTGCGCGTGCACCTGGCCAAGGCGTGCCTGCAGCACTACGGCCTCGAGACGCTGTCGCACTGCAACATCACCGCTTCGACATGGTCGAGCGGCGAAGACGACGAGAATGCCGAGGACGAAGGTGCCCCGTCCTGGGTCCCCAATTGGGCATCGCCGCATCTCCCCAAGGCCCTGACCGTCTACTCGCATCTCAACGTGCGAGGCGGTGGGGCCGGCCGCGCCTATAGAGCGTCGGGGAGCTTGAAGCAGGGCATCGAGGACTCCTCGTTCGATGCAAACGGCAGGCTGAAGCTCTGGGCCATCCGCGTCGACAGCGTCGAGCGCGTCGGTGACGGCCTCCCGGCAGAAGCAGTCAGCTACAGGGATGGCGAGAACTTCGACTCTCTCGTCGCATGGCTGGAGGGGCTGAGTGTCGTCTTGCCGGGCACAAACGACGTCTATAACTCGACAGAGGAAGTCGTTGAGGCGCTGTGGAGGACGCCAATTGCAGATCGTGCGTTTGTTCATAACTATGAAACTATACGCGCGCCGCAAGATCTAAAGACGGGGTATATGGATCTGCTCAGGGGAGTCAGGAGCCGCGAAGCCATACGCTATGCAGGCATCGCGCAGTATAAGCTCAAACGGAGGAAGCCTTTCAGGACTTCGAAGGGTTTTATTGGGATCGGTCCCCAAGAGGTTGGTGAGGGGGATTGCTTGTGGATACCTTTGGGCGCTGATGTCCCGTTTGTCCTTCGTGAGGCGGAAGATGGTCGTTTGGTTGTCGTTGGTGAAGCATTTGTCCACGGGATCATGGATGGCGAGCTGACAGAGGGGGGGAGTGTAGAGGTTAAACAGATTCAGCTAATATAACAAATCTTGCGCCTGGAATGTCATGGACAGATAAATGTTATGTGCATTTTACTTCTCTTCCATTTCCAATGCCGCTGAGCATGTCAAATCAGATGGCAAACGTATCCCAACTGCGGACATCACATAGCGCTCAAACCTAAAGTCTAAACTTAGACAGCCGACTACGAGCACAACTGAATCAATCACCCGATCCGGAAACATGGTATGCTACTCACAGTTTGTCTGCCTATTCGAGCCCCGCACACTGACATCATACGGCTTTACTACCGTAACTCCGTTCAATCTCCGACGAAGCTACCCCTCCTCGCCAGCTACACTGACACTATTTATTTCCCCGCTACCGATTCCTCTTCAGCAATCCACAGTAGAGCAACGAAACCCTCACAAAGGCAGCCGACTGCAAAAACAGGAACAACAATGTCGCCCATCTCCGTCTTCGCCGCCAACAACACGGCCCTCATCACCGGCGGCGCGAGCGGCATCGGCCTCGCCGTCGCACAGCTCTGTCTCAAGCACAGCATGCGCGTCGCCATTGCCGACTGGAATGCCGAGACCCTCGCCAAGGCGGAAGAGACGCTCGGCGGGCGCGGCAAGGTCGACACGTACCAGACGGACGTCTCGAATCCGGAGGCTTGGGCGAAGCTGAAGGGCAGTGTGTTGGAGAAATTCGGCGTCGGGAGCGTGGATTTCTTAATGCTGAACGCCGGCGTGGGGATGAAGGGGACGTGGGGGGATGCGGAGTACTTTGAGAAGGTGTGTACATTATACCTACCCTACGAATCCCCCGTCGAAGACACTTCTCAGACTGAGACACACCGACAGACCCTCTCCACCAACCTCTTCGGCGTCATCAACGGCCTCAACGCCTTCGTCCCGGCCATCCGCTCCGCAAACAAGCCGTCCGCCATCGTCATCACCGGCAGCAAGCAGGGCATCACCAACCCGCCCGGAAACGCCGCGTACAACGCGTCCAAAGCCGCCGTCAAGACGCTCGCCGAGCACCTCGCCTTCGACCTGCGCGCCGACGCACCCGCCACTTCCGTCCACCTGCTCGTGCCCGGCTGGACCTTCACGGGCATGACCGCCGGCGGCGGCGTCGTCAAGGAGAAGCCGGCGGGCGCGTGGTCGGCAGAGCAGATCGCCGGGTACATGTACCAGAAGATGGGGGAGGATAAGTTCTATATCATCTGTCCGGATAATGATGTCAGTGAGGAGACGGATAAGAAGAGAATGCTGTGGAGCGTGGGGGACGTGGTGAATGGCAGGCCGCCGCTGACAAGATGGCGGGCGGAGTGGAAGGAGGAGGCCGAGAAGTGGATGAGCGAGCAGAAGGTTTGAGCAGCGAGAGTGAGCTGGTGATGCAGAGTGAAGTGGTGCCCGGAGGGTGGGTGTGGATGGACTTTCCGAAAATAGAAATGGGCTTGCCGAAAAGGGTATTTGGCAGTACCGGAATGGCGGGTGGCGGTCGCGCGCTCAAACGTCGGAGAGCGCGGGAGAAGTGCGGAAGCCCCACCTGCCTTGTCGACGCTCAGTCGGCGAACAACACGTTGCACAAGGCAGCTCTCGGGCGTAGAGTCATGGAAATTCATATAAATGCGAGGGTGCGCATGCAGCAATCCCTACGCCGTGACGTCACCCGACGCGCCTGAAACTCACTACTCCCCCAGCGTGATTGCCTCCGCAACCCGCCCTCCGAAAATAAACACCGCCAACTTACACCTCACCTGCATGCTGCACTGACAGTCGCTCCTTCCCGCTGACCCACTTTCTCTCCTTTCTCCTTTCCACGCCGCCGCACTTTTCACCTCTCCCGGAGATCCAGCCGCTCCTTCAACCACACACATCACCACCATGGCCACCACTCAGCTGCCTTCGCACCCCATGTTCGACGTTATGGTCGATGTCCGCAGCAAGATCGACCGCGTCAGAGCTCTCGAGGCCGACAAGCAGCGTACCACCGCCTCCTTCGACGCCGCCCAGCAGAACCTCAAGGACGTTAAGAGCCGTGGCGAGGCTCCCACCGACGACGACATTGAGCGCGTGCACAAAGCCATGATGGATCGCGTAAGCATCATGCTCTCCTCTCCTCCCCAGAGCAATGATCCACCCTGGTTGTCACGCCACACCGCTGACACACCGCCCCCGACAGACGCAAACCCGGCTCGAGATCATGTCCATCATGCAGGACATTGGCAACCAATCCGACACCATCTTTCAGCTGCGCGACGACTACGAGAGGTACTGCAATGACGTTCGAAAGTCGATGAAGCCGGGGGACAAGCCGCCTCCCATGGCCTCGCAAGTCATGAAGGAGATTGCCGAGGTCATGGATCTGCTAAAGACGGATGAATAATCCAGAACCACGAGTTAATGGAGGGGACGGGCCGCTGAGGGAGCACGTGCTTCGAAGGCAGAACGGTAATAATTCTGGGTCAGTAGGGCGTTTCGGGCATAGCTTGCTTGAGGATTACCGGATTTTGCGCGCATACCACATTGGCGGGCATACCTACAGGGCAAAGCATCTGGCGCTGCAGGAGGTAAAATTGGGGATTTGCAACCTTGGCTCTAACTAATACACGGAACTGCTTAAGCCCACGCCCAAAAGCTGTTAAACCAGTCAAAAGAATTCGATGTGTGAACTAACTCAGGGAGACGCTGTCACAAACGACCACTACATCTGTAGTCAACACAAAAGCAGTTATACGATGTGGAGTTCAGTCTTGGGGATTTGGGCGGATCAAGGTCCCACACCAAACCAGAGAAGCACTTTGTCCAATGTTAGCGTACCATGACAGCTACTTTTCAACAAAAGACGCATATGCGCAATTCAACAGTCGCAACGGGAACCTCGGGTGTTTCTTTCCTTTCACGTGCCTTGCCGCACTGGTTCCTCAGGCTGGAGGTTTTCCACCTTCTCCCCAATCCAAAGCCATTGCCCCATCAGCCCCAAGCAACACCTAGCGCAACACGACCTTTTGCTATGAAGTTCCTTAAATTATTTGGCAAACGCTTGAGAGGAGATGGGTCGGCAGTCACTTTCCCTTTTTCTGCCCGACTCTCTCATCTCATTCGTTCCGTTCCAATGCTGACATCTGGTACTTTTCAACTCCCCCTTCGCACAACCCAACACATCCTGGTCCAGCTCGAACGTCGAGAGAATCACGCGCAACCTTCTTAGCATTGGCAATGGGAACAGGACTGACAGTGACCAATAAGGGAAACACACCAAGGACGTTGAAAAAGAAAAGGACACCAAAGCCATCGAAGAAGAAAACCACGCCACCGTCAATAATACTGTTCCGACAGTTGCAACCCCAACAGTAACTTTTCATCCCATTGCCCTTCTCATCACTCCCCGCACGAGCGACAACGGCAACGACCACAAACACTAATAGAAACCCCGCAAAGTGCGTCGTACAATCGCGTCCCACGGCAAACTTCAGGAAGCTTGAAGAAGAACGAGCGACTTTCGAGCATGCATACGTGCTGCTCCTCCGACAACGCGTGCGGCTATCGCAGCTCGAGAGAACCCGACTCGATGCAGACGCGGCGCGGATAGCGATGCGCGACCGCATGGTGCAGATTCCATACCCGGAGCCATCCCCAGAGCTGCGGCAGGTGTACTGGAACGCCGTGTGTCAGAATGTAGGTTTTATCTTCTAC